TAGGATTTTTGAATCATCTATAAACAAGATTTTATACTATAATGTTGATAAAACTAGTAATTCTTAATGATCAAGGATATATCTGATTTTGGTAATGAAATAAAGTTTCATATTGGTGAAGTAAGACTACTTTACTTATTATAGGGAGGTTGAGATAAACTTAAGTCTGGAGCTAGACGGAAATCATTGAGTTTGTATTTATATGACATACACTGATATAACCAATTACCCTTCTGATATTATTCAACATATATTTATTAGTGACTAGCTTCAAAAGGTATATACTGGAGTTCTAGTGAGAAGTAGTGACCAGTGAAGTTCGATCGGGTCTGTTATGAGATAGAAACTCACTGAAGACAATGGTGGATGTGTCACTCAGTTTTGTGGATTATTTGAAGTTAGACATTAACACCGTTGGATGTCGGCCAGCTCAATAGTCTAGTTGGTTAAGCGCTCGCATGCGAGACTGATTGATCCTGAGTTCGAATCTCACGAGGTGGGATCGTGGCAGTGCTGCAGGAATCACAATAGGATGAAATGGTCATCCAGTGCTTCCAGGTTTTCCATGGTGGTCTAACTTCAATTGAATCATGATCTCAACTATTAAAATAACTATATTATCCACAGAAACCCACTCTGATACTGTTTAATTCTCATTGTTTACTGGAATTTATTTAACTATGATATTAGAAATCTCTGAGTTTTGATAAAAACGATTGGTTTTAAGAGAATTCACATTATGTTAGGTATTTTAGTGATATTACTCATGATAGAAGAAAAAAAATCTAATTCACATTGTTATTCGTAGGTGGTGAGAATGAGCATCGATTTGAAAGTCATGAAGAAGAGCGGTTTCTTAGAAATAGTATAGTGACAAATGTTTCAACTAGCATAAAATATCGGTCCATATGTTTTTGTCGACCACCACTGATCAACTTAGGTTTCCACGTACAAATACATAGACAGTTCTTATTTGTTTGCATTTATTTAACAGTAAATTCTTACTTTTTAGTGTTTACAAGTACACCATTAAGAGGGTGTTCACATGTGAACAATTTTTCACCGATCAATTACAACACCTGAAGTTGTGTATTTGACTTGTAAATTACATAGTGATAGTATTTTCTTTCGATATTGTTAAAAAATATCACTGAATAAATATAAATACTTTTTAATTTAGTCAACTGGTTTACCAAGTGCATGTTTCGATTTGTTATCTACTGCCTGACTTCTAAATGTTAATTCTGTGGTCTTTAATCAGAAATTATTACATATCAATACAAGTGATTTCTGTAAAACTAGTTAAGTAAATATAATGTACTTAGTTTCATTGAAAACTGATTGTCAATTAGTATCTATGCAATAGCCCGACCCTAGCTGCTATCTTGACGTGATGGTCGGGCTTGCCTATCGTGATGACCCAAACGAGCTATATTGACTGGAACATATGTTTCTGTAGGTACTACCATGCCAGGCTGGTTGATTGAAGAACGGTAAAACTAAGAGCAGTAACTCAAGGTCTAAGGGGAAAGTCGTACTGCTGACTGTAGAGGGGTGTGACAGCAGTAAGGTGTTTCCCATTCTTTTTAAAGATGGTTATGACTTTCTGGCTAAGAAAATGACGACGTTGTTAATAAAGGCCTGGGAACTAGTGTCGATAGTTGTCGCTATCTTTAAAAAGGGTTCACGTCGTTCCTGTAACAACTATCGGGGGATAAGTGTACTTCCGATTGCGTTCAAGCTATTGGCTTCCGTCATTCTTCGTAGATTGTTCAAAACCCGAGAAAGATTGACTCGCGAGGAGCAGGCTGGGTTTCGTTCTGGTCGAGGATGTATTGATCATATCTTCACCCTCCTCCAAATGTTAGAACACCGCCATACTTATCAAAGGCCAACAATCGTAGTGTTTCTTGACATCAGGGCTGCCTTCGATTCGTTGGATAGGACTGTTCTCTGAGATTGTCTATTGAAGAAGGGTGTGCCTTGGAAGTTTATTAACATCTTAAAGACCCTATATACAAACACCTCAGGCAGAGTGAGGGCATACAACCACCTTTCTCTATTGTTCCACTCAAGCAGTGGGGTTAGGCAGGGTTGCCCAATCTCACCATTCCTCTTCCAATTTGCCATCGATGACATTCTGGAAACAGCTCTGATGGATGTAAGTAATGGTGGTGTGGATCTGTTGCCTGGAGAAAGAATTCTCGACCTTGAGTATGCAGATGATATTTTCTTACTGTGCGATAATGCCCAAGGCATGCAATCCGCACTTAATTAGTTGGCAATCAGTGTCCGTAGGTATGGTATGTGCTTTGCACCTTCGAAGTGCAAAGTACTTCTACAAGACTGGCAGGATTCCAATCCTGTACTCACCCTGGATGGTGAGCAGATAGAAGTAGTCGGGAAGTTTGTGTATCTGGGTGGCTGCATAAGTGATGTTGGTGACATGAGTGATGATATCAATTCACGTATAGTGAAAGCCAGAGCGGCTAATGCCAATCTGGGCCACCTTTAGCGCCTTCGTGATGTTAGTCTGGCTGTTAAATGTGAGATCTACAGCGCGTCGGGCAGAGCAGTTCTGCTCTATGCTTGTGAAACCTGGCCTCTCCGAGTTGAGGATGTTAGACGACTCTGTGTTTGGTCACCTTTGTCTCCGAAGGATTGCTGATATCCAGTGGCAACACCATGTTAGTAATTCAGGGGTTCGGCATCGTGTGTTCGGGCACAGAGATGATAATGCAATCGATGTCACCATCTTGAAACACCGACTTCGGTGGCTTGGACGTATTCTACGAATGTCGTACAAGAGAATTCCATGTCTTGAATTATTTGCCGACTCTGGGACTGGTTGGAGAAAGCGGGTGGTCAGTGCATGACATGGTATGAAAGAAAGCTGCAAAGGACTGGCTTCTGTCGGTCCTTCACGACTCCCTGGTTGGGGTCCGAGAGATGGTACGACACAGTGGCTAGAGACGTTATCAGATATGGCTCAGAACAGAAGCCAGTGGCGATCCTGCTGTAACTTCCTTCATAAGAAGTGGTTGTTTCTTCCTTAACTGAAAGATTTCTTCTGACTATACCTTTCCGTTTCCCTCATTATTATTATTACACTAATCTGATCGTTATTGTTCTGCTTCTTCTCTTTTTCATTTAGGCTCCGTACCTTTTTTCTCTCCCCATTCTCATTGTTTTATGAGGCGCATATATATTTGTTGCCCCATATTTATGTGTTCAAATAAATGAATAAACTATTAGTTTCAATAATACTTCGACGCCTAACCAAAGCAGACTAAAACCAAGTTGGTTACCGACCTAGACGTGGTTGTATAGACTAGATATTCACACTACGTCAGGTCCTAGAACATAGACACATATTCAGACATCCCAAAATAGTGGTATTTCTCGACCTTAAAGCGGCATTTGACTCTGTTGGTCGTGAGGTTGTATGGAGTACCAAAGAAGTACATTAACCTTATAAAGGCTCTCTACTTCAACACAACTGGTAGAGTGAGAGCTTATGGCGAACTATCATCACAATTGATTACCTCAAATGGTGTTCGTCAGGGCTGTTCACTCTCTCCATTCTTGTTCAACTTTGTCGTTGAACTGATCTTCGAGATAACAATTTCTTCATCTAAATTTCCAGGAGTTGAACTTTTAACAGGAGATTAACTTGTTGACTTAGAATACGCGGATAAAATAGTTCTGTTTGGTGAAGACGCTGACAAAATACAGTCTTCTGACTATTATAAGCAACGATGCAAGCACGTTCAGGATGCGATTCTCTTCCTCGAAACGCAAAATATTGCTTCAGGATTGAGTAGCGCCCACACCTGAACTAATGATAGGGAGTGAATTAATTGAGGGTGTTGACCGCTTCACTTATCTTGGAAGTCTCATCAGCACTTGTGGTCTGATGTGTGACGAAATATCAGCACGGATACAGAAGGCTCGACTAGCTTTCTCCAACGTGTGTCATTTATAGTATAGGAGAGATGTCTGTCTATCAAGCAAAGGACGGGTTTACTGCGCAGCAGTTCGTTCCGTCCTACTTTATGGCAGTGAAACATGCCCGGTAAGAGTAGAGAATATTTGTAGTTTACTAGTATTCAATCATAGATGTATTCGAAACATTGGTCGTATATCGTGGGACCACAGAGTAAGTAACACAGTTATTAGGAAACGGGTACTACGTAAGGATGAAGTGGTGAAACTTCATCAGTTGAGATGGCTGGGACACTTGTTGCGTATGCTCAACCACTAACTGCCCCGACGTGAGATGTTTTATGGTGTACTAGTAGGATGGAAGAAAGATAGGGGCGGTCAGACCAAAACATGGCACAAATCTATGAAGTCACTGACAAATGGACTGAGCCATGTTGGTAGATGTAGGACTGTCTGATTGGGATCCGCTAGATGATAGCAACCGTTGGTTAGAGACCTTGAATGTGATATGGCTGAAAATCGTTTGCAATGGCGCAGGGGCATCCACTTTTTGTGTTCTCCCAAATTCTAATCTTCTGAATTCTTCATGTCCTTTATCTTCTTTCCAAATTCATTTCACTGAATTACACTCCTAGAATAACATCTTTAATTCCTAATCTTTCCGATTAATGCTTATAATTTTACTACCTCTACCACTATGGGATTTGAATCGACATTTGTATTTCTGTGCTAATGTGTTATGGCAACATGAACTGATGTGCGTATGTATGAAGTTCTACGTTGTTACCAACTGACTGATGTAATTGGCTTTCACAGCTACGCCCGAATTGTGACGGCTAGCAATACTTCCCGATTACACAAATCTAAGTAGATAGTGAGTTCAAACTTAATCCTTAATGGTTGAACGACTAACAACCTAATAACTGAGCCTATTCAAAAATGATCATGTATTTCTCTATTCTTTCGCAAACTAGTTCTACCATCCATGAATTATGTCTCTCTCTCTCTCTCTCTCTCTCTCTCTATATATATATATATATATATATATATATATATATATATATAACTGTATAAAAATGTTCAAACAAATGTGCACTAAATCAGAACACGTTCCTAATTGAAAAAATCAAGGAAATTTGAAACATGGATGAGTATCGATGTGATAAAGAGAGAGAGAGAGAAAGGGACAAACAGATTAATTAATCAAGATGGAATGATCTATAAATGATTGTCATTAATTTTTCTTTCTATACAAAAAAAAGACAACAACATGGGAACACAAATGTTCCGTTGCCCTTATAGAAAAAGAAAAACAAACCAAATAATAACAAAGTTGCTGATGTAAGTAGTCTGTTTTTTTCTCTCTCATACTTCTTGTTGCTACTTCTCATAAGACAGGAAGTCAATTTTATTGTTTGTTTATTTTAATTATCTTTACAATTTCTCTTGCATAGCCATTAAGAATTTTTGTTGTTCATGTTGTATACTTGACAAAACATCCGGTATTGATATTTTATATTGTTCACATACTTTTAATTGTGCATTAACACCTTCACGTAATGCAATTAAATGTGATAAATCATTTTGTGTTTTAGCTTGTTTAATTGCCATATCGAAATGTTTTAATGCTTCACTGAATTGACCTTTTTCTACAGATAATTGACCAAGTAATTCATGAATTAATTCACATTTAGGATCTTTTTGAATACCTTCTATAAAGAAACATAATGCTGCATCACGATCTTGTTTCCATTTTAATTGTAATAGGCCACGATGAGCATAAGCTAATCCAGAGTCTGGTGCAAGTGTTATTAGATCAGCAAATATTTTATCACTCTCTTTAAAATCACCACGTTCAGACAGGATCTATATGTATTGAAAGGAGTAGTAGTAGTAGTAGGAGGAGGAGGAGCAAAATGGAAATCAATGATAATGGAGGATTAAAAAAAGAACATAAATATGTATATCATTGATAACAATTTTTAGGCAAAACATGTTTAATCGATTCAATAATGAATTTTGCTTAAGAAAAACAAATGGATTAATAATCATAACACGCTATTGATGTTCTACACACACACATTCACGCTGAACAGGTCGAAGGCTCCACTGACCATTTAAGATAGTTTCTTTTAGCAGACAATTATTACTACTAGCACTTACAAAATGTTTAGTTGAAAATTAAATAAAGAAATTTATAATTCGGTCATTGACAGAGTTACATGATGATATTACACCAAGTCAACGTTCACAGTCTCAATAAACGAAATGAAACGATCGATTCACATATGAATGGATTGGTTGACAGTTAACGAAATTGCTTCAATAATTCGAAACGCTTATATCATTTATGTCTATAAATGCCATTTACTGTGAAAATGATATACTTATTGTATATTGTTTTTTTAAAGATGAGTATAATTATACAGCACTTCGGTCTACATTACCTAACAATCAGGTAATATGAATGATCTTTGTAAGTGGAAAATATGCACCATCTGTTAGAATTTAATAACTGGTGTTACTGAAGTAATATCATACAATCACTGATCGGTTAATAATAAAACAAGGAATAAAAAGTATGAAAGGTAGAGAGATTGAGTTCTTAAGAAAAGAATCAAGTTTTCTTTGTTTACGTTTGTGAGTTAATAATTGAAATCAATTGTCAAAGACTTCCAATCAAAGTAGGATAAATGTGTTCACTCTTTATCATCTTTTCTCACTGTGTCTTTCGAAACTATATTCCTAAAATCGAGTCTCTCTCTTTATAATTGTTATTACATTATTTCGACTTTATTTGTCATACTCATCTTGTTATGTTAATCTTGTATGACAATCTATACCAACTTACATATGTACCAGGATCTATGTTGATGATATCTATCTATCTATCTGTCTGTTGAGATTATGATAATGTGAGGTTAGACGCACGGTATTAGGGAATGATGGTAGATCAGTCGATGAGGTTGTGAATCTTCATCGACTGAGATGGTTGGGCCACGTGTTACGTATGCCTGAACACCGATTACCACGAAGTGCAATGCTAACCGGTGTTTGGGATGGTTGGAAGAAAGTTAGGGGCGGCCAAACAAAAACGTGGCATCAGTGCTTGAAGTCACTAACTTCTAGTCTGAGCCATGTTGGTAGATGCAGACTACTTGGTTGGGGTCCGCGTAACTTTCATAACCGATGGTTAGAGACTCTTGGTGACATGGCTCAGAATCGATCACAATGTCGTCGGTGTATACACTCTCTGTCTTCCCTTAAACTAAGAGATTGAAATCGCTTCATATCTTTCTTTCTACGAACAAATTCTTCCTTCCTGTACTATATCCTTATTGCAATCTTTCTTTTATATATTACCACCTCTGAATTAACTACTTTTATGAATCCGGTGTTCATCATGTTGTGTTAATGAGGTATGGCAACTTGGACCGATGCATATATGTGTCTGGTCCTACGTTGTACCTGACTGACTGAATGTGAAATTGGACAACTTGAACTACTTACACATTTATCACAAGTCTTAACAATATTTATGATTGATTGTATAGGCTAAAATATGATGTATTGACGAGTTCATTGGGACATGTAAACCTAACAAAATTTCAAAACCAATTAATCATTAACCTTACAAAAGAAATGAATATTTTCAGTACTTCAAACTAAACTAGGCACAACAATTTTGTACTTCAGAACCACCAAGTGAGTAATAATGAGGTTAGACATAGAATACTAGGTAAAAATAAAAAATCGACTGACGAAGCAATAAATTTTTATCAACTGAGGTAATTAGGATATGTGTTACATATGTCTATCCACTACCCATCTCGACCATCCATGTTGGTTGGTGTAATAGTATGTTCAAAAAAAGCTGGGATAGGTCAAACCAACATGTGATACTAGTCTACAGAGTCATTAACAATAGAACCAAGTCATATTAACAAGTGCATACTACTTGTTTGGGATCCATTTTACTATCATAACTACTAGTTGGATATTTTGCATGATATAGATTAAAATCATCCGCAATGATCAAAGTGTATTCAACCTCAGTCTCTTTCCTTAGATCTTCAATTCCTAATCACACTATCTCTACTACTCTAGAATTTATTCAGAAAATTTTATCTCTTTGTGCTAATGGGGTATGAAAAAAACTTAAAACGATATAAACACGTATCAAAGTCTACGGCGTGTTTAACTGGCTAACTGACTATGTGACCGTATAATAATAATAATAATAATAATAATAATAATAATAATAATAATACCCATATCAATTTAGATTCATCATCTTAAAAATTCTCTAATCGAATAAAACCAGCCTGTTTTTTTTTCAAATTTTAATCGTCACAAAAATTACTGAATGTTTCTCCGCCTCCAAATACACAAAACAAAACAAAAACCGAGAAATGTTTTCGTTTTGCTGAGTAAAAAACAAAAAAACATTGACACATTTACACAGTGACGTTTATCGATTAATCTTAAGGTAATTTCACTAACTTTTAATCATTACTTAATAGATTAAACTAATGTTTATATAAATCTAATCTAACGGCAAATAATCATGAAATAAGTTGTTGCCATATGAAAAAGAAATTACCAATAATACTATTATAGCAACAAACAAACAAACAAAAGAACAGCATCCACATAACTCTAATTCAATTTCAGATTACTATGATGACAAGAGCAACAACAACAACAACAACGTATTGAGAGTGATTGAAAACAAACTGTCAATAACTGAAAGTTTGAAATTCTTTTTACATTGATAAAATGATACATCGCATTAACTAGCCCCTTGTGTGTCTTGTAAATGTGATAAGTAACTACTTATTTGTCACGCACGTAATCATCATCATAATAATAAAGTATTTCAATTTCCTGATCTGAGAGAAACAATCAATAAGTAAAATGAGTTTCAAACTTAAGATCTCAATTGTTCATGATTTAAAAGAAGGAATAAAACCATATCGACTGATGGGATTGAGTATTCACACTAACTAACATCGATGTTAGACCTGGTAACTACAAAAATAGACTCTAACTCTTAAACAAATACTTGAATTTTTCCTTATTTTCACAAAATAATCACAAAGCTTTAGTGAGTGTATCAGGAATGCACAATTGAACATTACCCAATAAAGTTGAGACTTTTATGATAAGCCAAATAGTTAACATATTCTCGACAGTTTTTCTATTATATTTCAGCGTAGATGAATCCTAACGTTCTAGATAAAAAAACGTTTTGCATAACAGAATTCTCATGATGTTTGTTTTCGTTCAGAATGCACCATTAATATCCCACTTTGAGATGATGAATAGAGTAAACCGTTTTCTTTTTTTCTGGTAGAGTTTAAGTTTCTTAAAGTGCTAACACGTTTTCACACACACACACACACATAGCTAATTCATAGAAATGATCTACACACTCCATATGAAAATTACGCAACAATTAAAACTACAATGTAGCGAATTTCCCTACAAAAGTGAGCATACCCGAAAAGGAGTCTTCATATGTATTATCCAAGGACTGTAAAATTAAGTCACCTCTGGAACTCAGACAAAATATGTACATGACAGTGTTTGATCGTATAAATATCTTCTTCATGGTATTCTGTATTCATATATTAAGATAGAATTAACTAGGAATTAAGAATATGAAGTAAGAGATTTGTCTGATTTAGTTGGGAATTAAATCAAGTTCTGAACATAAGTGATTTCGAATGATCTCACTGTGCTTGAGATCATGTTCTTTTTTGTTTGAATTTTAATTACTTTGTAAACAGTTAGTCTGTGACAACACAAAATCGCTAACTTCAGTTACTGATCGAATGCACTCATTAACCCACAAACTTAATCGAAAACCTGATATTCTGATGCATAAGCAATATGTTGTAGTATATACCCTCCTGGTCACAACTGTATACTTTCACATATAAAATACTAGTTGTTATAAGAGTAGACGGCTTAGTCGTTATGGAATCGTACTTTGACCACTAACTCCTAGGTTCGAACCTCCTCCCGCCTAATTCGGTTTCGGCAACAAAGTATTATTATTAACACTTACAATTAGAGTATGGCTCATACCTAAATACCTGGAAATTAGTCTGTATCTATCTTACCTGAGCAAATAAAGAATGAGTTTCCAAACAATTGGGATATTTCTTTACTAATCGACGAAACTCTTCAATACGAGAATCCACTTTACTAACATCACCAGCAGTTAATGCGCATCGATATAGGGTGTACAAACGCTGAGCCTAAAATTCAAAAAGCAAAAAAAAACAATCCAGAGAAAAAATTAAATCAATAACGAATGTAAATTACAAACAAATATTTTAGGGCGAAAAAGAGTGGATGAACATTAGGGAAGTATACACAGAAGGATATATTTTAATAGGGATATTTTATAAACCAACGAGGTTTAGAATCATTACAGACAGAAACAAAAGTCACTTAACGATTACTTAACACAAAAAGTTAAGCATTAGGATAGAATATTCGTAGTAGCAGTGGAATTTAGGAAGTGAGTCTCATTTTATCTAGGACTCATCAGTGGAGATTTTGATATTGGGAAACATTGATAGCAAGTGTTGAATAATGAGGACTATCTACTAAAAGTTTAGGTAACATTAAAACTGTATCATCCTGCTTTACACGAACATTTAGAAACTACAGCACATTTCACACTTGCTACCAATGTTTTCAAATATCAAAATCTCCATCCGATGATGCTGGAAAAGTAAATCGAGAATGTGAACGGTTAAATTACAGCAGATCAGTTTAAATGTTTGATTTTTATTTGCAGATGTTGACATCCGCATTAGAATATTAATGCACATTGAGTAGGAGCCTAACATCACTTCTCAAATGGTCACAACCAAGTCTCAACGTTTGTTAAATCTCAAACATGATACAGCGATGGTGCGACTGAAGGCGAAATCTTATTCCGGGTCAGTGAATGCTGTCGAATCCTTAAAATCTTCTAAACAAAACACAGCAAAAACACAAGAACCTACTGAGAAATCACCATCAAAATGTTGGCTTTGTGAAGTATGGCATTTTGTGGAATTATGTCCATTTAAGAATCAAAAGTACCGCCTCTGTCACTGCCTATCAAACGAAAGCTTATGGTTTATAGAATAACCTAGGGATAAAACTAAATATTATTATTTTACAAACCTTGAATTAGGTGATATAATGTTCCAAAAAATAGCTTCCGATGTTCGTTATGGCTTTTTTGTTTCTCTATTCACATCAACTTAAATAATTTGCTCACTGCATATTCAATGATACAGTACGGTAATGTAGACCCATAAAACTATTAGTAAAAACACAAACTAACCAGATGCTTCCGTTTGGTCAACCAGGCATTATCACAGCTCTCACTCAAATCAATGATAACTACTACTGGCTATATTGTTATTATGAGGCGCATATGTATTTAGTGCCCCTTTGTACCAATGTTTATATATTCAAATAAATAAATACATTTTGGCTGTTAACAAAATCACCTGTTCCAGTTTGGGCACCCTTACAGTATCTCAGCTTATACATACGTTCAACTATTTGTATGTCCTATACATATATCTTAGTCTCCTGTGTACCAATGTTCGTGTTTAAATAAATAAATAAACGACTATTCTGAACATACAAGACATCATTGCGCAATGTTGATATAGATATTTCCTAAATGAAGATCTTGTAGTAAAATCCTTAAATACACGTTAACAAGTGATAAGAAAATTGTGGCTTAGTAAATACTGAATGATTTAAATACTAGGAAATATCATTATCCCGCGGCCTGCTTGAATATATAGACTATCTGTTCCTTCCATTTAGATATTTCAACAAGCTACCTGCCTTTTGTTTGTCTTAACACATCATTATGTCCATTAATCGTATAATATATTCAGACGCGTTTATGAAGTGTTTACGACCTTTCACTGTACAAGTTACAAAGAAGTACAACCATCAGAGACATCGTGGTGGTTGGCAATACGTATTGAAAGGAATGAATATTATTCGGATGTCGAGTCCTGGACTGCTAACATTTAATTAGCAATCACTCAATATTTATCGTCAGGATCGATCAAGAAATAAGAAACGGAAACTTGTTGAAATACTTTGTGCTGAGAATTCAATATTGCACTGAAAAAATAATACTGAATAAAACCATAAACAATGACACTAACAAACGATCATCATTCTCCAGCTTATATTGATTCGTTATGTAACAGTCCACTCACCCACCTACCCACCAAAACTCACAAATAAGCATAACCAACTACTAACCTGTGCAACTGAAAATTCCGGCTTTAATTTAACAGCTGTATTCAAATCATGCAATGCTTCATCTAATTGATCAGCTAGTAGATTAATTTGACCTCGATGAAGATACACATCCGGACATTCAGGCCAAACATTTTGTGCACGTTGGAAATCATAAAGACAAGCAGCTACATCCTATGCATGTGAAAAATATGTATGAAGGTAAATATGATACAATAAACTGTAAAATATGAGTGTGAAAAATTATCACTTTAAAAAAATGTAAATTTATGTACAAATAGTTTATGCCAGGAGCTTCTGATATATTAGGCCTAATCAGACTTCCATCTTTTTAATATCATTGGTAATATTATTGTCATTTAGACTATTTTGCTATTCATTTTATTTCGATTTCATCTCATATGCTTGTATAGTGTATCATAACTTGGAGATCAAAACACATTTATCTCCTGCGGAAAACGAAAAATAATATAACGAAAAGGTTGGAAATCAAGAATCAGAGAAAAGAATAATACAAAAAGTCGATCTACGGAAAATGAGACGATACATACACACACACACACAATCACTGACAACAATCAATAATATCTGAATATGTCGAGATCAGAACAATTGGTTTGAACCGCTTACAACTTGTGAAGAAATTCTAATAACTCGTTACGTTCGTGAAGTTTAAGGTCATGTTGCTGACGTCAGTCAACCAATTATCATAAAAGTAAAACCCAGCACAAGTGAGCTTTGGCTTTAGTTGTCATACCAAATCGATACGATGAAGTGAAATTTCCAAGATTAATTAAAAACCAAATCGAAATAATTTAGCAAGAACATTAATAAGATCAATAATATAGTAGAAAAAAGTTTATTGAAAAGATGTATATGAGGAAATATTGAAATCCAAGACATAAAGAAAGGAAACGAATGTATCTGTGCTATCGTGAACTTTCCTGAGCCATTTCATCCTCAAGCAACTCCAGTCACCAATCGCCATTATCGTACAGACTCCAACCAGGTAATTTGCGTCCACCAACTTGTTTCAAACCAACAGTCATGGAATTTTATGGTCCGATTATGACACCAAGTTAAACATCGTTTACAAATAAGTTTAATGGGTGGGTTCGACGTAATCATCAGGAAAACTCGCTTGACCTTTATTCCACGGTAATTAGCTCCTGTTAGTAAGGTGTACCAACAATCTGAAATAATCCTTCCCATCTAGGATCCAAATCCATGTCACCTGCTATCAACGACGTTATCACAATAACTTATTCCAGTTTTGACTGATTATCTTCCTGTAGGACTGAGATATTTACGCTGATTAATTGCTGAGAAGAAAAAATCAATATCATATTCATCCGATTCTTAGAACTACCAATCGAAATCGAAATGATCAAAGATTTTCTCCACACAAAAATTATATATATGTATATATATATCTTGTGTAGCTTACGGATATTGAGTATTTTACGTAGAAAACTGTTTATGAATGCTTGTATCTTTTTGATGACAGTTGTAGTAGTTATCCGATTCTTAGCTGTGTACAATAGAACTGTCTTGATGTTCGTATTGAAAATTATGACTATGGTGTTGTCTGACAGTCCGTGACTTCACATCTGCATCAAACCCCCCATTTTTACCAGTTGAACTGCTCAGGTACATAAACCTTTTCACCTGTTCCGAAGCGTCTCCATCAAGTGTGATTGAGTTGATGTTCTCTATGTTGTATTTTAGAATCTTGCTTTTTTCTTTGTGTATTTTGAGACATACGGATGTACAGGTTGTTACTACACTAGATTTCTTCACGTGGAGTTTTTGCTGTGTATGAGATAAAAGAGCTAGGTTATCTGCAAAATCCAAATCGTCTAGTTGTATGCAAGCTGCCCCCTGTTTTCGTTGCTTTCCCTGAGATGTATAGGTCTTCACAATCCAGTCGATCATTGGAAGAAAGAGAAAGGGTGGGAGTGAGCAGCCATGTCTGACACTGATATCCACTTGAAATGCATTTTTGAGCTGTCCTCCATACACAACTTTGCAGTGTAATCAGTTGTAGGAATTCCGTATGATGGTGACAATCTTCTCGTGTACATCATGTTGTCGAAGAAGATTCCACAAAGTTCTTCTATCCACGTTGTCGAATGCTTTCTCATAGTCATGGAAGTTGATGTATAGTGATGGGTTGCATTCAATTGATTGTTGAACAATGGTCTGTGATGTCGTTATTTGGTCGATACTCGATTGATGCTCACGTAATTTAATGTGTTGATTTCGATATTGTTTGTCGACTGAATCTTTCATTCGGTTCAGCAATTCTGTTGAAAATCTTGTCCGGTTCTGATAACAGCGTGATTCCTCTTGAGTTCTCTTTTTTCGTTAGCTTGACGAAGTATCCTCCTTCAAGTCTGTTGTTACTTGTTCTTACTCTCAAACCTTTTTTAACATAATGTCAGACATCTTTGCAGTTACTTCTATATCTGACTTCAGTGCCTCATCTGGTATATCGTCTGCTTCTGATGATTTCCCATATTTGAATTGTCTGATAGCCATGATGATTTCTTCGGTTGTTGGTGAAGTAAATGTACAATGCCTAGTTACGAAAAAATCCCATTTAAAACTAAAATAATATCTTAGAGTAAAAGCTCAACTATAAACACACAGATCGATTCAACTTACTTGATCAACTGACATTGATAAACATGCAGATTTAATCAATGCATTAACACGAACCACTAATGAAGCTCCAGAGTCCACCATACCAATATTTTGAAAACGTTCTTTTGCTTCTTCAGAACGTCCAGCTAATGCTTGATAAGTAGCGTGTAAAAGTGAAATTTGATTATATACTTCTTTAATATACACTTGAATAGATTCATTTGTTTTAATTTTATTGAGGGAATCAGTATTATTGGAAGTTGTGGTGACGATATTGTTTTCTTTGCTGTCCAATTCATTTTCATTTCCATTATGTCCATTAGATTCAGGAGAGATGAGATTATCATTTGATTTTGAAATTGTTTCACTATCATCTAACTCAGATGATGAATTGATCAAATTCTTTACATCTGCGAACGACTTATCCGATAAGATCTAAGTAAAAACAACAAACAAACAGACAGAAATATAGCAGTATTTATAGTGATTAGTAGACAGTCAGCTTAATGCTACGTAGGACACACAGCACGAATGTGTATTGAGTCAAGTTTCCATACGTCATTAGCATAACAAGATGAAATTATCAAGACAAATAGCACAATAGTAGAAGTAGTAACAGTATTAGTGGTAGAAAACATTAAGCATGTATATTATAGCGTGAGAAGAAAGCATTTGTGGAATGATAGGTATAAGATCATTTTAAAATTTAAAATCTAACAAAGAATACAAAGAATGAACTCCTCTGGGGCATTGTGAACGATTCTGAACCATATCACCCAGTCTTCAATCACTGATCACAGTTATCTTGCAGACTTTAACCACGTAGTCTGCATCTATTACCACACCTCAGACTAGCAATCAGCGGCTTTATGTACTGATGTCGCAAATTGGTTTGGTCACCTATTTTTCTTTTAATCTACCCCTACAACAACTAACATTTCAAATAGGTGGTGGGGCACACGTGATACATTTCCCGACCATGTCAATCGATGAATATTCATTATCTTAACAACCTAGTATCCTGAGTATAATCTTAGCATCACCTAGAAGTTGTTTTCAACATAAGTGAGCAATGCTTAGAAGACATTATTACAAATGATGGAAAAATAGTTTGAGACAAATGTCAATAAGTTTCTCTTATTAAAGAGTATTTATATTGAGCAAGTTAGTTATTGAATTTATGATGAAATAATCGGCAGTGGTTTTCATCGAGCCAGATCCAGTGGGATCTGTGAATATTTTCTTACATAACAAGATTTCCAATACAATAGTGTTCTCTTTTTGACTGCATTTATGACAAAAGATTGTACAAGCCCGATGAAATAACACAAAAGCAGCCTCTAAATAACTGATGCAGATGAGAAATTTCAGAAGATGGGAAATCCAAAACAGTAGTAACCTCGTTGATCAAAGTTTATTTAACATATATTGTGATTTATACTAATGGCATAATTATATTCATCGAAAATTATAGTGATACGATTGGATAATATTTGCTTCTAAATGAATTTATGGTGATTTTAAGATTTTTTCTAAAACGGATTCTTTACATGTACTGTTTTTGACAGATAAATAGTAAAGAGCTGAATGTTGTATTGTATGGTGTTCAAGTGGAAAGACTGGGAGTGAGAAAGGAAGTTTGTTGACTAACTGAATCAGCAAGTACACTTCCTCATATATGTATCCCTTAGAAAATTAAACCAGCAAAACTGTCTCATTCCTAAGAAATGTAAGCCATTCCTTGGTCGATCGCATGCTCTTATCATCTGACCAACTTCGGATTAGCCTAACGTATAATCGTACCCTCCTGAAGTATGAGACTCACTTCTCGGATTCAGCTAAAGGCATTGGAATGAATGTACATTATTAAGACAGTCAGTCTAATGCAACGTAGAATACGTAGCACAAATGTTTATTGTTTTAAGTTCACATACCAAATCGATATAACAAGACGAAATTATCAAGATAAATCCCAGAGAAATAGTAGTAACAATATTCGTGATAATAGAACAGATTAGGCATCCAAGATACAATTCACGAATAAATAAAATAGTGAAATAGGAAGAAGAATAGTGGGGAAGCATAGCAAGGACAAAGAGTAGATGTACCACTAATCTGATACAACTATCTATTGAGAAGACACAGAAAAGATGGGTGGTAAAAAAAGAACACCTAAGAAAAGATTTATACCAACTTCTGTGTAAGCGATATGCTTCTTCTCCTATTCTTCTACATGTGCCAAAATTGAAGTTGGTAGCTTTTATATAGAACAATCTCCCCGACAAATCAGTTGCGTCCCTGACCTTAAACACTAGTTCACGAAGCAATGGACGTCAGAAGACATACTTATATGGAAATCCATGAGATGAAACAGATCTACACAGCATATATATATTATCAATCATACATAACAGAATTTATAATAAAAGAAACACTCACTGATTCGAACAAATTAACGGCTTTCATCGCATGATCAGCTGACTGTTGATAATCACCTTTCGTCATATAATCAAAGGCTGAATTTACATTATTAAACGCTGATTGAAGAGGTTCTTTAAATTGTGTACAATCATATTGATTAGGATTGTTATTATTGGGTACTTCTGTGGTGCTGGGCATATTTGATACAGGATGATCATCAGTTACTCCGTTAACTGCAGTCTTAGTTTCAGTCAGTGAATTATGCTTGGATAGTTGTGAAGAATTAACTGTGAATGGATTACATGCGAATGCGCTAAATTGAAGAAAAGGTTGAGAGAAAAAATTGTTAAATATTGGCTGTATGAACAAGAAAACACACAAACAAAATACTGAGATGATGGAGAATATTCGTAGCTTAAGATGATTCTGAAAATGTCGTAATCTCTGGCAGATGTTGACCACCTGGTTGGAATCTACGCTCACACTGATTAGAGACGTTAAGTGATGTGGTTCAGAGTAGGCTGAGACGGTTCAAATGTATTTACTCTTTGTTTTCCCTCTGGTGTTTGAGTCTTAGTATTCCTTTGTACATATCTTTTGCAACTATTTTTTTCGATAATTAGTGATTTTTTCAATATTGTTAATTCTAATTGTTTGCTAATCCGGGACTTAGTGACTGAATATCGAACGCCTTGATTACCAAGCTAAGGCTTCAAGACTCTAAATGATGATTAGCTTAATATACTGAAATTTGTCACAAACATTTTGTGAAACAGTGAGTGAGGAATGCTTATTTATGCTTCATTATATGATTACGAAAAGCTAGAAATAGATTGGGATATTAAATAATGAGATGTAAAAGAATCTACGTATAAGTAACAATTAAACTGATTACTCAAAATTAATTTAGCTCATCCTATCTAGGATAAGTGTGTGTACACAAACATTTAACTGACTATGATAACATAGAAAGAAAAACAGACTTTGAGCTATACTGTTAAATATTACTAGTGGTTAAAACAAAATATTTATTCGTATGACCGTTCTAACTGTAATAAAATTTACAATTTCACATATTTTACTCAATGATTAATTAGTATGAAGAAATAAACATAAGACGTAATAAATTGGTTAAAGCCCTCGTCTTTCTGACCGTAACTGGTTCCCTGACATGGTAATTAGACTTGGATATTATGATGACTCAATTAAGCTATACTGGTTAAAATATTAGTTCTTTCATATTATGACAGTAATAAATTGTTTCTTCCAATCAACTAACATCCTCAGTGGTGCTGCCATTCCATAATAGGAGAGAAATAAGAAAATATGGACCCTAAAAAAGAACATATTACCTTTCTCTATTGATTTTGGCCACTAGTGATAAGACTTTAGTGTTTCAGAACCAACACATTTAAAGCGATTAATAAAAAGACGGTATGAGGTCAAACTCAAGTAGTTCGGCCGTAGTTACGCTGTCAGTTCGTCAAGACCACTACCGACCCAGCTTTCTTTTCAACTTCATTTAAAAATTACCCTACCACGGAGTGTGAGAAACCGCAAAGTGACAACTACCTTGTTCAAAATCAAATCACACTCATTACTTGATATATTACTTTCGTTTTTTAACTTATTTATTTATTTTGACACATAAACAGTGGTACAAAAGAGGCACTGAATACATATGCGCCACACAAGTCACTAGATTTTTGTGTGGGCTGTGATATTGCTTGGGTGCCCAAACCGAAGCATGTGGTTTTCTTGGGGGAAAACACACTGAGCCTTCAACATAAAGGTCGGATCCACAAGGCAGTGGAGCATCGTAGGGAGATGTAGTCCCATGGTAGCCGGTGACCAACAATTGGTTCATACACCATTTGTTGCTTCAGGATACTGGAGCTCATGTGCACCATTGGTTTGGAATCAGTATTTTCCAACTCCCCTAGGTGGACTCTCCATGTCCACCAACCGGGTTAAAGCGCTGGACATTCGCTTTTCGTCCTCTCGAGTTCGTAAACAACACCCCTGCCACAAGAAGCCAGTGAGTAGGACTTCCCTGGCAGAGGCTATATACGCGTGGCCATGTGAGAGCATTTCGAGAGGGAGAGTGGACTCTCGGATCACATCTCTATCTATTTAGGTTTAAACAAATAAGAAACAGTATTATTATCACCATTATACAGAAAGCTGAGCAAGTAGAAATCTGAACATGCATGTAACCATGGCTATGAACAGAGATAGTGTATAGATAATCAAAATCCACTAAGCTTTGCTTAATACAAATCTCAAAAGCCTGTTTAGACACACAAATGTTTTTAGTTGATACAGTAAGAGTATCAAATGTTGTATTATAAAGAATAGTAAACAAGTTACAACAAAAATAAATTGAAAAGTGAACAAGTCCAAATCGTTCAATAGGAGTAAAAACCATAAACTGGGATGAGAATCTCTAGATATCTGTTTCTAGTTTGAAAAAATTTCATGATCAGTGATTATAAACACTTGGATAGATTTTTTCAAAGATCCAACGGTAGTGGCTGTATTCATATGGCATTTATTTCATTTTATTTATTTAAAACTGTTTAATCGATACATGTATTGAATATCCGGGACATAAATGTCATATTACAGAAGTAAATATACTATTTCATGATATATTTAGAGTGGGGTGAATATATGAGATCAAGCCCCAAAACCAGCGCATTGAGTCAGCTGAGGCCTGTATATAGGAAGTTTGTGTATAAATACCAGACCTGGATACCGTGCACTATAATACATGGTGTCAGAGGTGTGAGGATGGTTTCCGTTTTTCGGTTCTCCACACGACGGAGGGATACTTTTTCTTAAGGTAACTTAAAAGATTAACTCGGTTGAAGGTGGTTCTTAACGATCTGAGAACGTGACTACAGAGCCAAGGACAATTCCTTGAGGCCGGTCATGGGTGGCCCTGTTAATGAGTAGTTTTAGATAGGCTTTACCTAGGTAATTACTATTCAACTTGGAAAGGATATTGATTAAAACTGTAAGTTCGAAATTGGTTGAGAAATGGTTCATCTAAATTAAGTAATATACCAATTCATGCCTTTTTACAGAAGAAACATTTTATCAATCTAAGGGCTCCAAACTACTGAATTTCTTCAGATGCAATGTTGATCATATTAAATTTTCGCAATAACCAAATTCATAATGACAGACTGCTTCAGTGACCAGGCACAGATTAGTGTACTTGATTTTGAGGCACATTTTAAGTACGAAAGTGAATGACACAACTCAGTTAATAAAGCTGAAGTAGACAGAACTGAGTTCTAGCTTCGAACTTGGTAGCCGAAGACCTTCACAACAGTGTCATTGTTGCACGATCACAGTAATACATTATATATGACTACTGAAATCCGCACCTAATCAATCCTCATTGGTATAAACAATACATGAAACCCTTTGAAATTAAAAACCTAAGTGTAGCAATGAACATAGTAAGATGAAAAAGAAAAAACCAAGAGATTTTAAGGTTAAAATCATCCATAAGAAAATAATGAGTGTAGTCTTTTTGTTTAATTGTTTCCTGAATAACCATTTAGTAAAAAGATATATAGTTATTGCGCTAAGTAGTATTATTATGATGATGATCATGCAAAGGAATGGTTTGTTTACATCACGGGTTTTCTAAACGTACATAAATAATACATACATACATAAACTAAACTGTCTTAAAAAAGATCTAATCGACACATTAGAAAAGGTATAAAACAATTTAACCAGATAAGTGATAAGAGTGATTATCTCACTCAAACTTTAACAGAAGTGTTAAAGGCAGTATTAGCACCATACACAAACTAGTCTTCTGTTTATTTCATGTTACATTATCAATACAACTAACACTGATAATCAATATTAATGGTAAAAGCATGTTAGCAATGCTGATATCCGGCAACGTGAGTCCAGACAGTGGCAATAATCCGACCAATGTCACCATCTTGAGACATCGGTCTCGATGGCCTAGACATATGCTACAAATATTATCCCAGTAGCTTCCATATCGGGCATTACTTGCCGACTACTCTGGAACTGGTTGGAAAAAGTGGGAAGGTGATCATTTTATGATATGATGCTTGGGTAAGAAAGAAAACTGCACAGGATTGGTGTTTGTCGGTCCTTTGTGAACCCACGGTTGAAGTCCTTAAGTGAGAGGAACTTCCTCGGTTGAAAGGATTCGTCCTAGTTTTATTTTTTTAACTGAACCCGCTTTTCCCATAATTTACTACTTTTGTTCACTTATTTTTATCTATCCATTGTTTTTGATTATCCGCAACCTTATTCATCTATCTCTTCACAATCTCATTTTCTGACTGTGTGGCGCACATATATTTGGTGCTCTTCTGTACCAACATTTGAGTATAAATAAACACAATAAATACAACAAACTGCAATCATTCATATGAATACATGTTTAAATTTAAAGCAGCTTGGGATATTATCACAGTAAAGCAGTCACCGTCAATCAATTATTTGCACAACAGGACGTGGTACACATATATCCATCGGTTCAAGTTGTAACACCAAATCAGTACAACTGGATGAAATTATCAGGAAAAATTCCAGAGTATTAAAAGTTATAACAGTCTCAATGGTAGTACGAAGAAACGATTAGGCGTGGACGATATGATTCAAAAGGCATGAATTAGTGAAATAAAACGTATAGAATAAGTTTCCAACTAAAGACATAAAAGGAAGATAAAGAGCAGATACATCCGAGCCATGTCATTAAACGTCACTAATTATCATCTACAGAAAATTGCATGAACCCCAACCAATATAGCCCAATCGAACAGTCAGTGATTTTGATGGGCTGGTGCCACGTTTCAGTTTGGGCAGCTCTATCTTTTTTCTTCCAAGTTACTCCCATATCAGCTAGCATGGGGTGTCAACACAGGCGGTCGTTAGACACAAGTAATATATTAATTGAGTCCTAACCACATCAATCGATTACGACTCGAAACCTAACAAATTGACTTACCGTTTTTCCCAAGTACCTTGAGTCTAATTTTAGTATTGCTCACTTATTGTTCACAAAACACGGAAGCAATACTGCTTGGAAAGCATGAATGGTCAAACACTAATAACCTGTAGGGATCCTCTATTTTTAAAAGCCGCGCTTTACAGCCATAAATGAGAAGAGAACGTATAGTTAGTCAATGTAACCATCTTTTGGTTGGCAAACAAACAATTTGTCTACGCCAAACGTGATGGAACCTAGCAAAAGTCAAACAAACTTTTTAAAACCCATATTGAGATTTCGTCAGACACGGTGTATTAATATTTGGTTTCGACCACAGTAAGATCCAAAGGTTCGAATCTCCTTACGACATCCTTAGTTCAGGCAAACGGATAGGATAGCCAACTTTTGGATCTAAAATACGGATCTAAAAAGCTCGGTACATAAACCTTGAGTTTACTAAGTTTGTTTTAGTTCTTAGCAAACGATCATCTGTCATCTTACCTCAAATAATTACGAATAAAAGAAGCTGATGGTAATTCATGCAATAATTTGGAACGTTCTTCTTGAGCTTTCAGTTGTCCAATTGTTTTGAGTACTTGATCCATGAAAACAATGTTGTCCTGAAATAAATAAATAATAATAATGTGGATTATATATGTACACTCCATACAATTTATTTTAATAAAAACACAACGCAAGGAACGGTGATGTGTATATGTAATCATAATTACCGTGTGCATTATTGTGAGGCCTATTCGAATAACAAAATACAATACCTTCAAGTGCGTTCACCGCTTCCTCTCTCATTTGAGCGCTAGTTCTTTTTTGACTATTAGAGTTCGCACTGAACAATTCTAGGGAATTACTAGTTAGCATACCGAATTCTACCACTTCTACTTATCACAGGAACTCAGTGAATGATTGTTACATTACAGAGAGCAGGACCAAAATAAGAAATTGAAATAAACATCGATCCATGTAAATTAACGATGAATTTGACTCCTTATCGAAGTATGATGATGATGGTGATTACTTTTTGTCTGGTAATGTAAACATTGATTTCTGACGAAAATTGGTAAAGTTAACCTCTGTTAATCAACTAATATAAAACCTAGAAGAAATATGGATCAACATAAGTTTCCGATTATATAACGCATTTACCAAGAACAAATTCATGTGCTTGACTTTGAGCCACACTTTAAATATGACAGTGATACGGCGTGGGTTCCCAGACCAAAGTAGGTAGAATAGAACTTGAACTTGAGACCGAGTGGTTGGAAGTCAAACACTTTAAACACTAACTAATTGAATTCAGATCAAAGGTGTAAAATAGAACTGAAACTTAGTCATTGAAAGGAGATAAGAATGAATAAACATTTGCTAGACTGTGACTAATTTTGAGTTATGTCAGTTGGATAATATTTATATTATCATGGCTGACAATCCGACCGATGAGTTCCCCTACTTGCATGTAATAAATAATATCAAATGGATACCTACTATACAAGTCAGATAACTTAAACGCCAATTCTGTACCTAATCTCAAAATAGTATTTATATCATATCATATAACACGAATAGGTCAGTCAAATAGTGTGCTACAAAAAGTTATCTGTAACACATTGTATAATCATGCGGAAGGTTATTCAGAGCACAAACACTGGAGCCTTAAAGCCGGCTTAAATATTACTTAAGTACTAACATTAATGCTCACAACGTTTACCAGTAGTTTCCATGTATACGTAGACACATACACACAGTAGTAATCAATATATACCCAGTACTAAGAATGATGGGATGCATAATTTACTAGTAACTAATCATAGGTATCTTGTGTTTGGTGAAACAATCAAATGAACAGTGTGTTAAGGTTACATTCATACACAATCTATAAATATACATATTATTGTCATAGAAAAAGAAAATCAGTTAATGATACTAATCACTTACAGCATTTTTAAATTTTTCAAAAATACAACAAGCTGTCATATCTAAAAGGCACTCATCCCATTTTTTTAATTTTTCATATAAATGTGCTCGACGATTTAATGCTTTCAAATAATGCGGTGTTAATGATAATGCAAGAGAACAATCTTCAATGGCAGATTCATATTGACGTTGATTCTCTTTGGCTGCTGCACGATTTTGATAGAAAGCTGCACGTTCCTAAATAATTAATAAAATACTGTACAAAATATGGTACAAAACAAATGAGAATATAATAAACATTACAACGATTGATGTAGTGTTCTAGATGTAGTTTTCAAAATGATTGGACCTCAGAACTGTTTTACCATTTTATACGTGCCAAAAATTCAGGTTTATGTTTATCACTCCTTCCTCATTTCTTTACTACTGATATATTTGTAGAGGACTAATGTCTAGGTTATTTAAAAATGAAGAAAATCGATTATAAATAAAACTGAGTTAAAGAGAAAGTAGACGATACACACCACTTGTCCTAAAACTGTAAACATGCTTCATACTCTATTCATGAAGATTTGGGGAGAAGGATAAGTGATACCGACAGACTGAAAATAAGAACACCTCATCAATATATCAAAGAAAGGAGAGCTGAGCAAATGTGCGAACTACACAGGAATCACACTATAGTCAGTACCAGGAAAGGTTTTCAACAGTGTTGCTGAACCGGATTAAAGATTCAGTAGACACTTAGTTAGATCAGTAGACCAGATTCAGTAAGGATCGGTCGTGCACAGAACAAATTGTGACACTACGGATCATCGTTGAACAATCAATTGAATGGAATTCGTCACTATACATCAAATTCCCTGACTATGAGGAGTTTGACAGTGTGGATAGAACATGGTGGAAACTTCTTTGACACTATGGAGTACCTGAGAAAATCGTCAACATCATTCGGAATTCGTACGATGGATTGCCCTGCAAAGTTGTGCATCTAGGACAGCTGACAGATGCATTCAAAGTAAGGACCAGAATCAGACAAGGCTGCATACTCTCTCCTCCTTTCTCTTTCTTCTGGTGGTTGACTGGATTATGAAGACCTCCACTTTTGACGGGAAGCATATAGTGAAATGGACAGGTTGGATACAACTAGACGATTTGGACTTCACAGATGACCTGACCCCTTTATCCCATACACATCAACAAGTGCAGGTCAAGACAAACAGTGTAGCAAAAGCTTCTACCTCTTCAGCAGTAGGCCTTAACATACACAAGGGAAAAGGCAAGATCCTTAAATACACAACAGAGAACATTAACCCAGTCACACTTGATGCAGAAGCTCTTGAACATGTGGAATCTTTCACTTACTTTGACAGAATCGTCAATAAACAAGGAGGATCAGATGCAGATGTGAAGGCGAAAATTAGCAAAGCAAGGACAGCAATCCTACAGTTGAAGAACATACAAAACTCAAAGCGACTGTCAACCAATATCAAACTCGCAATCTTTAATACGAACATCAAGACAGTCCTACTGTACGGAGCTGGAACTTCGAGAACTACTATAACCATCATCAAAAGGAACAAGTATTAATGAACAACTGTCTACACAACATACTCAACATCCGTTGAACAGATACCATCACAAACAATCTACTATGAGAGAGAGAGAGAGCAAACCAGCTTTCAGTTGAAGAGGAAATTAGCAAAAGACGTTGGAAGTGGATAGGACACACATCGAAGAAATCATCAAACTGTATCACGAGGCAATCGATAACTTGGAATCCTGAAGAGAAAGAGAAAAGAGGAAGGCCAAAGGAAACACTGCGACGAGAATTGGAAGCAGATATGAAAAGGATGAATAGCAACTGGAAATGATTGCCCAGGATAGAGTTGCGTAGAGAATGTTGGTGAGTGGGTTATGATTTTCCATGATCGTTAACAGGCGTAAGTAAATACTTGTCCTGAGAAGCTCATATGTCAGCTTTCCAAAAGCTCATACGTGATCAAAATATCAAGGATAACGGCTATTATTCAGGACAAAAGTTAAAGCATTTACATCATTTTATGGCGTTTCAGTTATGTAAATTTAGTGTGGTTATTGTCTTGTCAGTAGGATGATAGTGTCATCCGAATAAGTCTATATTCCCTGATCTAGAAAGTGGTAGTCGTTGGACTTACAAACCTCTCGAGTAGGTCTGGAATTTTCTCGATTATTTTGTAGTTAATGGTGTCCCGTAGTTCCAGTTTAGAGCTAAGTGTTATTCGTTAATTTAAACACACAAACAAAAATATACATAAGCCCAACAAATCATTGAATTTGTGTGGACTGCAATACTGCCCGGGTGCCTAAAACGGAAGTGGTCTTCTTAGGGGCTCTTCCCCGAGCCTTTGACTAAAAAATCTAATCAACAAAGCAATGGAACAACGTTAGGAGATGCAGTCCTGTGGTAGCCGATGGCCAACAATAGGTTCATACGCCATTTATCCCCTTGGGATACTGGAGCTCATGTGCATCATTTGTTTTGGAATAAGAGCGGACTCTTCGTACCCACCAACTTGGTTTAAGTCCACGCTAAACAATAGCTTTTCGTCTTCGCAACTTCGTAAACACTCCCCTGCGAGAAGGCAGTGAGTAGAACTTCCATGTTAGTAGCTGTATATTCGTGGTCGTATGAGAGCATTTTGAGAGAGAGTCGACTCTTTCCACCCTCAGTTTTACTAGAGAATTTGACTGTGAGTCCAGTGGAAGTTAAAAGTAGATGGAATTAGATACAGTTAACCACCGCTGAGTCAGATTCTAGATTACATGTCGCTTAGAAAGGCTGTGAATCTTATTTGCGTATTATTATAGTAAAAAGTCTGGTCAAATGATATTTACAACAAATACTTGTAGGTTGTACAATTTGAAACTTAGATTCACATACTGAGTTTTTGATTCCTGATTTATTATTATTATTATTAATGGCTTTATTCAATATTATCTTTTTGGTACAATATACAATTGAGACAACACATATGACTTTAGTTGAATGCAGAAAGTGAGCTAGTCTAGATAGCATTTAAAGTTATGATAATCATGAAGCACCTTATTTAACGAGTACAGATTCGTATACTCAGCTATCAGCCACATTTTATGTGTGAGGGTCAGTGATTACTATTCGGATACCCAAACAAGATGGTGAGTGGGGACTCGAACTTCCTACCTAGTGGTTAGAAGTCGAACCCCTTAATCACTAAATTAACTCTTCTCTCTAAAGTGGTGAAGTAGAATTGGTACTTTGAAGAACGAAGAAGAATCAGTTTTTGGTCTGTGAACAAAGAAAAAGTTATATTGATCACATTTTAAACTAAGGTAACTAAGTGTAATAGTTGTACTGTATTTATCTATTTGAGCATATAAATATTGGTGCAAAGGGGAACCGAATACATATGTGCCACACAAGTTGTACTAACCTGAACTGCATCCAATGGACATTTCTTAAGTCCTTCATCATATAAACTTATTGCCTGAGAGTATTGTCCACCCTTGAAAAATTTATTTCCTTTTAGCTTTAACGCTAAAGCAGCCTCTAATGGTGTTTCTGGAGTAAGTTCTGCTTCACTCTTCTCTTCTGTAAAAAAATGGATTCTTTAATGCCTACATTTTCTTTCAAAGAATAATCAAATATTACTTAAATACAAATATTTTACTATAACTGAAAAACTTAACACATTTTCACCATCACATAGAGATTAAAGTAACGTGTCTGTTACAAATTGTTTGATTGTGAGATTCATTATTATGCACACCAAACAGTTTGTAACAGAATACACAAAACCAAGTATTAAAAGCATCAACATGATCATGTATAAGTGATCGCCGACCAAATCTGAAATAAAACTTGGATCGTGAAACATTTGCTGAAGTTGTTATACTTTTTGGTAGTGATATTTCAGCCAAATCCCTTTCTAGTCACTCAGCTATTCTAGGTCTATGGTCGAGATTTCTATTTGAACACATAAACATTAGTACGAGAGGGCACCAAATGCATATGCGCCACACAATAACAATGAGTTTTTAGAGATAGAGAATGTAAAGTGCGTTTAATAAAACAAGAACAACGAACAGAAATGAGTGTATAGGAGTTATAATAATAATAGGAGAAACAGTTCAGTTAGCGAAAATACAACCAAAAAGAATTATTTCAACGAAAGAAGTTGCGTCCATTTTCTATAAATAAAGTTACAGCAGGATCTCCACTGGCTTCTATTCTGCGCCATATCTGATAACGTCTCTAGCCACTGTGTTGCACTATCTCTAGGACCCGAACCAGGGAGTCGTGAAGGACCAACAGAAGCCAGTCCTATGCAGCTTTCTTCCATACCACAACGTCGTCATTCACTAACCACCTCTCCGCTCTTTCCAACCAATCCCAGATTCGGAAAATAAAGCACGATGTGGAATTCTCTGGGACGACATTTATAGGACGTGACCAAGCCACGAAGTCGGTGTTTCAAGATAGTTGCTATAGTTGAATTATCGTCGCCGTGTCCAAACACACGATACCGGACCCCTGAATTATTAACATGGTGTTGCCACTGGATATCAGCAATCCTTCGGAGACAAAGATGATCAAACACAGTCGTCTAGCATCCTCAACTCAGAGAGGCCAAGTCTCACGGGCACAGAGCAAGACTGCTCTGACCGACGCGTTGTAGATCCCACATTTAACAGCCAGACTAACATCACGAAGGCGCCGGAGATGGCTTAGATTGACATAAAACGCTCTGTCTTTCACTATACGTGGATTGATATCATCACTCATGTCACCACCAGCACTTATGCAGCCACCCAGATACACGAACTTCTCGACTACTTCTATCTACTCACTGCTCAGGGTAAGTGCAGGATCTAGGGGGTCCTGTCGGTCTCGTAAAAGTGCCTTGCACTATGAAGGTGCAAAGCACATACCATACCTACGGACACTATTTGCCAACTGATTATGTGAGGATTGCATGGCTTGGGTATCATCGCACAGTAAGACGATAAAATGGAGCCGATTTTCATACGAATGTAATGCTTTATTCCCTCTTAAACGTATTAAACCTAAATCAAGTCAATTATGCGCACGATAAGAAGTTGCCGCCTTGTAATTTGATACAAACCATATCTTGTGTGAAACGTGGCTGTCCTATTACATTTTTCAAACAGCCAAATCAGTAATTCAGTCTACAACGTAGGACCAGGCACATATGTACAACGGCCCAAGTTGCCACACCCCATTAGCACAACAAGAACACCAAATTCATAGTAGTCACTTCAATGGTAGTAATGTATAAAAGAAAGACTGTGTATAAGGATACAGCACGGGAAGAAAGAATTAGTTCGTAGAAAGAAAGATATAGAGCGATTCCAATCTCACGGTTTAAGGGAGAACAAAGAGTGTGTACACCAACGCCATTGTGATCATCCGCATACTCAAGGTTGAAAAGTCTTTCTCCAGACAACAGATCCACACCACTTAGATATGGTAATACCAACGTATGCAGCCACGTTTTTGTGATTAACTCACATGAATATGAATGCTTCGGTTTGGGCACCCGAGCAATATCATAGCCCTCATATAAATCGAATGGTTTATGTGGCACATATCTATTTGGTACCTCCTTGTACCAATTTTTATGTTTAAATAAAATAAATAAAAAGAATATGAAGTATCAACGAACTTTCACTTACCAAACCGACAAGAACGTGGTTTAAGCTAGTGAGTACTTAGGGGAATGTTATAAGTTCTACACCCAATTCTAGAGCAATGGTGTGATCTAACATTACGATATCTGCAATGAGACGTCTTAACAAGTAGTTTTACACTGGAAAATCATTTGGAATGTTATTTGGTATGCACATAAGAGCTATTAAACTAACTAGAAACCGCTTATTGAGTAACGCGTTTCGTTATATATGCAGCCTCGTAAAAGGTGATATACATGAGATAGACAGCTTAGTCTAAGGATTAAAGATTGGAAAGTTGAGTAACACTACAGACAACATTTTGATGGAGCGTCAGACAGTAGATTAAAATCACAACTAACTCAATTATATACGGAGAAAGTTAACGGGAAGAATTAGATCGGAATCTAGGCGAGGTCTCATGAAGATTTGGACATGAACAGATATTCCCCTCGTAGAGTCAGTTAAAAACTCAGATTATGTAGTGATAAGTATTATAGTTGTTACAGAAATCCTGACTATGGTGCATATATATATATATATATATATATATATATATATATATTGCTAAACCAACTTACACCAGTTTGTTTGCTAAAACAACAAGACAACTCGGGACAGCGGAAAACGAGGCACTTCCTAAAAACTTATGACTTACTTTTGTTTCTGAGGTAATATACAAGGACAGTTAAACCGGCTATACCAAGCGGGATACCGATTGTGACTGCGGTCCTCCAGGATATTCTGGGAAACAGTTTAGACTTCAAACTCTGTAAAAGTAATGAACATATCTAGAAGAAACTTACGTATGATTTACTATCGACGACCAGACGGGATAACGACATGGTTTACGGTGATAAAAGTAAATCCCGTCAGTAAACCACGAGTTCCGAGAAGCTTGAATAAAGCGCAATGAATTCAAATTCCATGATTTGCTTGACGAATGTAGGAATCTATATGACTTTGGATCTGTGTATGCTTATTAAGATATCATTCTTGGCGATAGGTCGATTCACTTGTTTTTATTTTTCCCCCATGAATCTGAATGCAGTGAACATAAGTTAACAATGCGTGGTGCGATCAGTAGGTTCAAATGGTTGTGGACGGAATAGGAGTAGCTTTCGCTTAACAGGCTTCCGTGTCTAGTAACAGGGGACCACCGAAACCTCCAGGCAGGAACCCAGGTATGTTATTAATAAAAGAGAAAAAAGAAATTGGTTAATCATAGTATGATACTATCTTCATTCCTTAAGAATAGATCAAGTTGCCTCTTGAAGGACTCCTGGGAAGTCGCTTGGACTAGCTCGGCCGGCAGCTTATTCCAGCATTTGACAACTCTTAAGGATTAGAAGTTGTGTCTACAGTCTGTTCTGCTATGTTGTGTCTCCAGTTTCTGGGTGTTACCCCTTAGATTAGTGTTGGAACTAAGCTTAAGTAGGTGTTTAAGAGGATGTTCAGAAGTGTTAAGGATACTGTAAGTCATAAGAAGGTCACCTCTATGACGTCTATACTCTAATGGGTAAAGGTTAAGTGATTGGAAGCGCTCTTCATAAGGTTTAAATTTGAGTCCTCGAACTGATTTCGTGATTCGCCGTTGGATACGCTCCAGAGTGTCCTTATCCTTTTGGGGTGAGGGAGGAAATACTATGTTTCCGTACTCTAAATGGGGACGAATAAAACTATTGAAGATTATATGGAAAGTTCTTCCGTCAAACTGGCCAAAAATGCGCTTCAATGTTACCAGTGCAAGGTTTGCTTGGAAGGCATTTTTGTCATATTTAGCATAAGACTTTAAATCGTAGGGCACCAGGACTTCTAAATCTTTTTCGACTTGGGATACTACTAGAGAGGAGTTACCTAAGTTATAACTGTAGTCTGCGACATATCGCAGATCGACTACTTTACACTTTGAAGTGTTAAAGGTAAGTCCGTTATCGTCTGCCCAACTTTGAAGTCGAGGCAGATCCTCTTGAAGTGCTTATATATCGTCTTGGTTGCGCATCTCTCTCCAACGTTTCACGTCATCGGCAAAAAGTAATAAGTCTGACGTTACCTGTTGTGGAAGATTATTTATGTAGATCAAGAATAGAAGAGGTCCTGGTACTGAGCCCTGTGGTACCCCACTAGGACATTCCATAGCCCGAGATGAAGTACAATTAACCCTGACCTTAGAATGTCGATTTTTTAGGTATGAAGTGAGCTAATCGATTAGAGGTGGTCTGATACCCAATCGTTTGAGCTTATTGATAAGACATGTATGGTTAACCTTATCAAAAGCTTTTGAGAAATCTAGGAAGATGATATCAACCTTCCCCTTGTGATGGAGGATGCTTGTTCATCTGTCCACCGCAGTCAGCAGGTTGGTTATAAAAGAGTAACCCTTCCAAGGGTGAGAAAAAATTTAAGAACAGTAAATAGTCATTTATACCATCGCATATCAGGGACTCCATGATTTTGAAGGTATTGAGAGAAGAGCCACTGGTCGGTAACTCGAAGGTTCGCTGCGTCGACCTCCTTTGAAAATTGGTTTGATGTGAGCCAGGTTCCAATTTTCCGGCAGTTTTCCTCGGCTTAGCGAGTGTAAGAACATCACGCTAAGCGGCGTTGCCAGGATTGAGGCTGCTTCCCTCAGTATGGCAGAATGGACCATATCCGGGCCAGGAGAAGTCTCTATTTTTAAGTGCTGCAGTTTCCGGAACACCAAGTCAGCGCTCAGGTTCAATTCGGAAAGTTCTTTGGAGTTGCAGATGAAGCTATCATCAGTATAGTCGGTGTGGGTCGGTTGAAATGTCCGAGAGCATTGTTCAGTCAAAAGGTTAGCGGCGTCGAAATGGAAGAAGCTTTCTCTAAACGGGCTTCTGGTAACAGTGGATTACCGATGCCTACTGATATATTTAACGGAAAGAGGAGAAATATCAGTAGATTTCAATGAAATACTGTTTTGAGTTCCTAAGCATATGTCGAGTCCTCACTCGAAAGACTCCTGTGAATTCGCATTAACCACAACATCTGGCAGTAAATTGCAGAATTCGACTACTCATAAACAGCTATAGGCATCCCTTTACTACATTCTGATATGAAGTTTCTGGGTGCCACTAACAAGTTTTGTGATCGGACTGAGCTTAAGTAGGAATTTAAGGGAGTGCCAAGCAGTATTTAGAATGCTGCAAGTCATTAGCAGGTCACCCCTGAGGTGCCAATACTCTAATGGGTAAAGATTAAGCGATTTTAGGCGCTCTTCACAAGATTCGAGTTTAGTTATCTTAAATGATTTCATTATTCACCTTTGGATACGTGCGGATGTATTATTAGTTTTTTGGAGTGACGGAATCAACACTACATTTCCATACTCTAAGTGGGGTTTACTTAAAAAGGCGATGATTATGTGGGAAGTTCAACATTCCCAGTACAAGGTCCGCTGGGAAAGAATTCGTTTGCATATAGCGTAAGCCTCAAGACTTAGACAATTTTCAACCTAGGATACCTTTAAAGGGGAGACACCTGAGCTATTTGCGTAATCAGCTACATGTCTCATATCAACAACTCGACAATTTTAAGCGTTAAAAGTAAACCCGTCGTCAACTGCCAAATTTTCAAGCCGAGTCGGATCTTCCAGAACTGATCTCCGTTAAATGATAGGTTCAAACGGTTACGATCGACATATTTGATATTTTGCTTGAAGGCCTTCCATATTTAGTAGCAACTGATCAATGATCCTTAAAGATAGAAAAAAGGGTATAATCCACTGATAAAAAAGAATTACTAATAAGCTGTGATGAAGTACCGTCCTGCTGGGGAGTTGCTTGATACCACTTTTGACGACAGCGAATTCAATAACTTGGCCCGGACACTTAAATACCAATAAGCTGCTTATGGATAATAATAATAATAGGGTGTAGAATTTAAACATTTTGTCTATAAAACTGTGTTGTACATCTAAACTATGGGTATGGAACATACGTTTTGTGTTGGAGCTGAACCTAAGTAGATATTATATAGAGTACCCAAGTGTACAGAGGACGGCATAGATCGTTAAAAGGCTGCCTATGAGTTGTCTAGCCGATAATAATTAAATATCCAGAGATTGAATGAGTTTATCGCAAAACTTGAATTTGAACATTCGATTTAACCTCGTGGCTCGCTTTTAAATAAATTGGGAGTATTCTTGATCTTTTGGAGTAGAGGAAGCACAAAAATTCCTTACCATAAGTGAAGTCGAAAGGAATTATTGAAGATTATGTTTAAAGTATCACTGTCAAACTAACCAAGAATGCTCCTCAAAGGTACCAGTGTAAGGTTTTATTAATAAGTATCCTGTCACAGCATAAGAATTTAAATCGTGGGGAATCAGAACTAAATTTTTGTCAAACTCAGATATTTTTGAAGTGGATTCGCACGAAATGTACGTGTATTTCCCAACATATCTCAAATGGACTACTTAACATTTCAAATTGTCGAAGGTAACTTCACTGTCATCCACCGGACTATGAAGTCAAGTCAGATCCCCCTGAAGTTCTAGCTTGTCATCATAGCAATACCAACCTACACCTAGACTGGTCTCTTTCAGCACTGAACTAATTAAACGTCTGACTTTCTTTAAAAGACTCAGCAAAATGTTCTGTTGTCATCACTTCCGAAATCAAATGCCATAGCTTTCAGATTATAACCACGAGAACGTTTGAACGAGATTTGTGATTAAATTCTGCCCAAGTATTTGCAATTTATGGGCTATTGGTGAAGGTTAGAATAACCGTCAACGGGCATATATATACAATGTTTGTATCTGATAGCCTAACAACCTGATTATAGAGGATTTGTACCGCTAAGACGTTTCGATAGTTTATTTTGTACAGTAATATTTACCCCCTCATAAGGCTCCGAAAATTTTCATATTAGTCCCTCATAAACTTTGCGGAACAGGACTGAAAAATTGTAATGTATTATTCGACTTTCAGCATACCTTTTCTGCGTAAAGCTTAATCAAATATCAGTTTAACCATACTGTCGGAAAACTGTCATTTGTTCTAGGCTGCACGCCAGCTTGTAACATTGCTGTGACTGGACTTTAGCAGAAATGAGAACCTAATGGGTCAAGTTGGTGATTATTTTGGTTGATGCAGATACAACCAAAAATATCGGACCATCCACACACCAACGAAGTCACCTCAACACTGCCTGGATGATTTCTCAAGGTTTGCATTACCAACCTCGTTGTCGGTGCTACGGTAGATTAATCATTCTGCATGTCGACTAGCATATGAGTTGTGGGAATACTACTGACTACCTAGTCAAGGTATTTATAAGGCCAATATATCCGAAACTCCAGTCACTTGATTAATAGGCTTGAACACATACCCCTCGTTTCGTATTAAAAGAGGGAACGCTTCCCTTCACACTGAGGCCCAACAAGACTAAAAAAATTATCTATGATTTCCTATCATCAAACTGGTCAAAAACACAACTCAAAGATATTAATAGGTGAATTCATGAGTCAATTGAAGCTAGACCACCACGAAAAACCGGGGCACTAGTCGAAGGTTGGCTCAAAAGTCGTCCCTATAACCAGTAGCATATGTATTAAATCATAACGAGCGAATGTATCTATATCTTCTTCAAATCGCAATAATCACAATGGGCAGTTTCCAAGGTTGTATTTGTAATACTTCGGATGAATTAATTACACTTTTAAGAAATGCTATATAATCCATCTGTTTGTCTAACTTTAAATAGGAATCAGATCTCACTTAGGCGCTAACCGATTGCCGACCTTTTTTCCAAAGCTTTGCATCTTTAAGGGGATATTTCAGAACGTACCATGACGAAAGTCGAGGAAAAGTGAACTGTGGCATCCCTTTGAATTCATAAGACGGAAAAAATTCTCCAGTCTGTCTTAACAAGAAACTACCAGGCACATCTTAAGCATGCTAGTATCCTTTTTGATTGAGACTAGACAGAAAGAACCAGCGGTACATAGGAATTCAAGGATAGTTTGGACCTTGCCGAGTATTTCAGTAAGAAATGGAGAAATCAATGTCCACTGTTAAGGAAGAATTATTTATTAAAAGAAACTGGTAGTACAAAGATAAATAGAGAATACAAGTAAATTCAACATAGAAAGTTTACCGAATTGAAAAAAGAACAAAAATGATGTGTTTTCTGTAAGTAAAAAAACTATGTTTATTAGAACAAAGTATTATTTAAAAACCACGAAAATTAGCTACAGCATTTACAATTTTCGGTGGACGATCGGCGCATAATTTAGGGAATTGATCTGCATCACAATTGATTAAATCACGTAATATCTGCAGATTACTTGGAACACTGACACCTAAATCATGCAGCATACTAAACAGATAACCTGAAACAAGTATAAACCATAAAAACGAGATAGACAGTATATTAATGATTTCCAACTGAAGCTGTATAACTAAGTTTTCAAGTAGAAAACGAATAGTTTCGACTGGGAATCTGTAAAAGAGTTTACATTGTGGACTGATTTTATTTGGAAAATGACTGAAACCAGTTGTTAATGCTGTCCTAACTTCTGAATCCACACAGCAATACGTACCCATAAGATATCTATCGACATATTTATAAATCGCGTGGAGGAATCCTCTAAGTTAAAAATCTCTGATGTATATATTATTTGATTTCAGTGAATTCGCAGTCCAATTCGGTCGAATGACAAAATTTTAATCTTTGTGTATGCTACTCAACAACCTACTTATTCATCCCATCGCACAGCATGAATGTAAATGAACCATTGTGGTCATCCAACGTCTCCAGCCACTAATACCAGTTATTGTGCGGACTCTAACTAGGTTTTCTGAATCTACTAACATAGCTCAGATCAACAATCATTGGCTTGATGAACTGATGTCATGTCTTGGTTTGATCACCCTTAGCTTCCTTTCAACTTAATCTTACATTAGTTAACATAGTCAATCGACGTAACAGGTGGTTAGCTATATGTAATACACAACTCAGACACCTCGAACGATGAAGATTAGAGAGCTCGTCGACTGATTTGCCATTTCCAGCTAGTACTCTACGTCTGAATCTGATCGCTCGACTAATAAAAACTACAAGAAGTTTAAGCTTACCAAGATCAACGTCCAGTTGTTTTAAACCATGTTTAGTAAGTAATAGCTGATCTTCAACACTATCGTCATCATTACTATCATCGTCATCATCATCAATTTTATTGGCGTCACGAGCAAAGGTGTTTTCTTTCAAAGAATCACTTTTAGATTTCAATGCTTTGGATGTTTTGGACATTGACGCTGTCGCTGACGAGTTAACTACAGATTTATTCAATCCAATTTGTAAGATTGCATTTACAATCAAATCACATACATTCACAGATATTAAATTTTCTAACCAACAATAAACTGAAGAAATTTCTGTTGAGTTCATATTATCATCAGTCATTATCATTTGTTTGAGTTGATTAAAATTACTGCTCAATTGACGTTTTCTAGTAGATGATGTTGACATGTTTGTCGCTTTTGTTTGTGTTGAACTAGTCTGTTCTTTACCTTCTTCTCCTGGTTGATGTTGTTGGTGTTTAGAATGGTCATTTATTTTATGCGAAATCATCGAGTAAATAACATCGGAATCACCTAATTGAAAACAATGCGTTAAACCATCACCAGTGGATATCAATGATGGAATAATTGTTTGATCATTCAATTGAGCTTCAAGATTCAAATCGTTCATTGACGATAAATACGGTTCTAATTGTGCTGGTAGCATAAATAAATATTGACCAATCTGTATGTTTATGTGTGTGAACAAAAATAGAAAAGACAGATAAAGAAAATTAGCGCATATAATTATAGAATAAGTGGATTGTGACTAGTAATCGAATCGAGGACGAATGTTTGATCCTATATGCCATCTGTCAGCTGAGTGTACCTGCAACTCACTGATGATGTCTAGCTTGGGACTCAAAACCAGTTACATACACTACGATGGATCATTCGCTGAGCAAATTAGTCCAGATAATCAATGTGCATGACGTTTTTGTAAATATTAGTAAAGGTTCAAATTATTCCACTGTCGATATTATATATATATAGTTGCGTTGGGTAACCCACATAGTGAAAATAATAGGCGCATAGATTTGATAAACATTATTCACCCCTGTTACTCCCATATCTGCAATGAGATTTCGAAGGGAGCCACCTGGAAACTAAGCAGGCTAGTGACAGTTAAAGATAATTTGTTTAGGTTGACGGTTTTTGATTATAGATTGATCGTAGCTGCTATACAGATGACAGGATGGACAAACTAATTTATTTTTACGAAACAACTGAGCAACATAGTCTGGAATATTTTTGATTTTTTGTATGGTACTATCATATCACATACGTTGGTTGGAGAGCGGAAAGGCTGAAAGTTAGACGCTCATATAGCGGAAGAAATGGTTAGAAATATAAAACAAACAACTTTGACTTAGGATTTTCTGATGTCGTGTCGCAGGTTGAAAAATATAAAGCTATGTGATTTAAAACTACTCACAGTAAAAAAACATGAGTGACGGGTTGCTCTGTGAGCATATTTTCAGTTGGATGAGACAGTCGATACTAACTTAGGTGTTTTTACAGACAACAGAAGGACATTAAATCTAGAAAGCACAATAATTTGAAGATCTTGTCCGAAGAATTAGTCAGTCGCGTACACTGATTCACTAGAAAACCCATTATCACTACACTGACTAATATTAACTAATCTTAAAACCAAGACATGAAACTGTATGATAGTGAACCTGACGAGTTACCGGGGAATGATTCAGAAAGTCAAGTTCTTCACCGATCAATTTAGCTCGAACAAACTTCTTGAGAAATGCATATCAAGAAAGGTCGTATAGTCAGTCAAAATATATTACTCAGTAATTCTAAACTACGCAAATTACTTAGTAATATCATACAATATTATCAACACAAACAAAATAGTTCAGTGGAATAACAAATCCGAAAACAGTTGATCAGCACCAACTACAATGATGGAGGTATGAAGAGTTTCACCTCAAATTAGGTTTTAAGAGGAACTCTTGAGACAGAGGAAGGTATTCAAATGTCAATACCAAAATAGACCGGCGGAAGCAGGTTTATTGTCAAATAAACCTTTTTTCTCGAGATCAGCCGTCTTTCATAAGCAAAGCAACTTAAGAACAAATCTTCTGGTGTTAGACATTGAGGCGACAATAAATCACTTAACAGCCGGACGATACGAGATCGTAACACTCTTCCAAACTTACATGAATTCACTCATATTCTGTCTGATATAACGATTTATTAGAAAGTAAATCTCGTCAGCGCAGCTGGTTTATGATCGCCTAAATATCTAACACTGGAAGCTTTGTTCGTTAGTCAATCAGTAACAACGTAGAACTTCGTACGTACGTACATTAATTCGATTTGTCATACCACATTAGCATAGAGATACAGTTGTCGATTCTAATCCCATAATGGTAGAGGTGTTAACAGTATAAGCAGTAATCGGAAACATTAGGGTTTGAAGATGTTAATCCAGTGAAACAAATTTGGAAAGAGGAAAAAGGGGACATGAGGAATTCAGAAGATTAGAATATGGGAGAACACAAAGAGTGGATGCACTTGCGCCATTGCAAACGATTTTGAGTCATGTCATTCAAAGTCTCTAACCATCGGTTGCTATCGCCTTACGGATCCCTGCCCTAGGACTCAATGCTGTACCTACACCAGCGAGGCCACGGGAAGCAGCATCAGGAATTCCAGATACACGAAGTGTGAATCCAGATGGTTCTTTATTTTCATATGGTGAGGTCAAATGAATGACGCTACTCGGATCCTGTATGCGCGTTTCGGAGACGCAGCACACACCGATGGCGCGAGATTCTAAAGTCCTAGTTTAGGAAGCCTGTTGTCCTATTTGGCATTATGTTCGGACGTTGGGAGCTCCCACATGTAGTTTAGAGAGTGGTTTCAGGAGACCGGAAATAACGTCCCGCCTACTCGAATCGTTTGCATTAGCGGTGCGAGGTGATAAAGGAACGTGAGAAGAGTTAGTCGTGGAGATAAGAGATTTATTTGGAGGTGTATGAGGGATTTGAATGTGACCGACTTGGCCTCGTGTGCTATTACGGGTACGAGGGCTGATGTCACTTCCCGGCTGCCCACACCATGTAAGGGTATTTCTTGAGAAACCTGAAAAGGAAATTGGATTAATGTTGGTCTTAACGATGTGGGAGCGTGACCACAGATTTCAAGGGACAACTGCTTGAGGCCGGTCATGCACAACATTTTTGTGGGTTTTTTAATGTGTTAGCTCTGTTCTTCAGAGGGCCTTACCGTCGGAGATGGAAATCCGTGAGGTGTGACATTTTTAGGTCGACCTTTTCTAACCACTCCCTTCCTTGTGAGAAGGCAGTATCGCTGCAGGTGCTGGTTGTCCGAGGGAAGCACCTTACTGCTGTCACACCCCTCTACAGTCGGCAGTACGACTTTCCCCTCAGACCTTGAGTTAATGCTCTTAGTCTTACCATTCTCTAACTGACCTGCCTGGCATGGTAGAACCTACAGAAACATATGTTCCAGCCAATATAGCTCGGTTGGGTCATCATCGAGAGAGCAAACTTCAATCAATCCACGATCTTGTACAAGCCATTTTTCAATTCTCTTCGGTGGGTAATTGACTTATACCGTTGAACTCCAGTGAACACAGATTCTCAGACTGCTAAGGAGACTCATGCTAAAACGAAACGGTTATCTAGTGCTTCCTGATTTACAATGGTGGTCCAAAATGTTTCATTTAATAATTTCAATGAAACCCAACAATTTCCACAACCTTATACTGAAAACCAGTTATTCATGAAAATAGTTTTCAAATTATATTTAGGAATGACCACAATACTACTAGTGTGGTGTATGCTACTTATGTCGACAGGCATAAGTATGTAACATCAGTTAGAAGAGGAATGCATGGCAGCAGAAGGCTATGAGGGTCTACATGAAGAAAATAGAAACGGAAATTTGAAGGAATTGTAACTTGGAAGAATCATGCAGAATGTTTAGGACAAATGATGGAAATTTGCAAACGAAGTAGTCAGTGTATGGTTCTCATATTTTACCACAAGATTATGCAATTTTTCATTACACTAATATTACTGCAATGAACAAGAACTAAGGTAGGGACGACCGATTGTACTTTAATACAAAATTACAGAGTTATTTGGTAAAATGTGAAAACCATCCGTTCAATGCTTCATTTGCCAATCCTCCTTCAACTGTCTTAAATTTTATCGTTCTTTCATTGTCATATTAATTACTCTCTGTTCTTATCATCTTCGATTTGATATTCCCAACCTTCTACTATCAGGCATTCAACTTCTCACTGGTGCTATACACTACTTATGTCCACCTAAGTAGCATTCACCACACTACTACTAATAATAATGATAATAATAATAGTAATAATAATAATAATACACAAGTTGAAATCATGAGTCAATGGAAGCTAGACCACCATGGAAAACCCGGAAGCACTGGACGGCCGTTTCGTCCTGGCATGGGACTCCTCGGCAGTGCGCATCCACGACCCCCGCACCTCGCGGGATCCGAACCCAGGACCTACTGGTTTCGCGCGCGAGCACTTAACCATTAGACCACTGAGCCGGCATCCAACAGTGTTAATGTCTAACTTCAACCAATCCAAGAAGTTGCGCCACCGTACACCATTGTCTTCAGTGAGTTCCTATGTCACAACAGACCTGGTTGAACTCCACTGGTAACGACTTCTCAATTGACTCATGATTTCAACTTGTGAAATTTCTAAAAATCTCCACAAAACCCATTCTGATAATAATAACAATAATAGTTAGATAAATAATTAGAATTTACTTTTGTAATATAATCTTGTGGTAAATAAGCCAAATCCGGTAAACATTCTTCACCATTATTTGGATGAGTAAACCAAATATTTAAATCTGGTACAGGTTTTAAATAATAACGTATTGGTGTCAATGCAATTTCACGTACTACACCAATTGTAGAACGACAAAGCATTGAACTGGATCTATGCACTCCATTTAAATTAGAATGTGATTTAACAATGGTTGATTTTGATTTATTTACTAAATCAACTGATGAATTAAATGAAGTTGATAAATTAGATGAATGAGCAAGTGATTGAATTGCTTGTTGACAATCGATAGATTGTTTTAAAGTTAACTGATATAAAACACAACCAGATATAGTTGGCATACAGAGATTATTATCTTCATTTATATTTATTTGATCATCATCAGTAATGAAGTTGATGTTTGTTCTGTCTTTAGTTAATATACTGGAAAGAAATATGAAATGCGAAAAAAAGAAAATATATAACGTTTTAATGCTGGCAAACTGGTCTCATCACTTTATCGCCCATTGTCTAATTCCAATATAATTAAAAGATCTATTGATGCAGACGAAATATAGATCTTACTTACAGAATATACACTCTGTCAACGAATCCCGTTAATAACAAAGTAGATATAAAAAACATGGAATACGAGTGTTTCGGATGTCTACACTTTATGCGTTTCTTTCTACAGAGAAATGAAGAGATGTATAGCGAAGGCAGGCGTGCCTACTAAAAATAGGATATATATAGTGTGACAACGGGACAGATAGTGAATAAACGGATAATTGTACAGGCGCAAGCACATACATTAGATGCATAAGCATAGAATTGCAAGGACATGAATATAAGAGAGATATATGTAGTCTACGCTAATTGTGTTGACAGATATAAGTAGTATGTAACACCAATCAGAAGTGAAATGCTTGCAAGCAGATGATTGCGAAGATTAAAATGAAGAGAAGAGAAAAGAAAACTAAAAGAAGTCAAAATAACAACAGGAATGAAGGACGATATGCAAGTAATGTATTTATTTAAACACAAATATTGGTACATACAGGAACCAAATATACATGCGCCACAAAAATCATTCGAATTATGTGAGGGCTGGAATACTGCCTGGATGCCCAAACTGAAGCGGATGGCTTTTTTAGGGGGCCACTAGCCGAGCCTTCGACCTAAGGGTCTGACGCACAAGGCAGTGAAGCAACGCTAGAAGATGCAGTCTTGTGGTAGCCAATAATTGGTTCATATGCCATTTGTTCCCTCAGGATACTGGAGCCCATGTGCACCGTTGGTTTGAAATCAGTGTTTTCCAACTCCACTATGTGGATCCTCCATATCCACCAACCGGGTTAAAGCGCCGGACATTCGCTTTTTGTCCTCTCGAGTTCGTAAACAACACCCCTGCCACAAGAAACCAGTGAGTAGGACTTTCTTGTCAGTGACTGTATACGCTTGGACATATGAGAGTATTTCGTGGGGAAGAGTTGACTCTCCCCACCCTCGGGTGTACCAAGGCATTTCGGGGGTGGGAATAGTGATGTATTTAATGTATGGTCTTCATATTTTATGAAGGCACTCTGTAATTTTTGCACTGAACAATGAATTGGTTAACTCTACCAAGTCTTGTTCACCACATATATACTGACGGATACAATCTCCTATGAATAGAACACAGTTACTAGGACAGTGAAAATGACTCAATAGTCATATGCTGTATGAGTTATTAAAGTCAGTAAATCACGTGAATGTGTGCATTTATACAGAGGGTGTTACAACGTAACGTTGAAACAAAATGGCGCTTTTTAACTAACACCAAGTGCACGTTTACGAACATGGGGTTTTAAGTTACACTGTTTGTGTAAAGGCTTATGACATTATACCGGCTGTCCAAACTAAAGTCGTTCAGTTATAATCTAAATAGGATATGGTAAAAATGTATTTTGGCATGAGTTGTTACGAGACACCATAGCATAGCAAGAAAAATCTACAAGACCAGGATCAAAATGGTCGAATAAAAGGACAGTAGGACCAATATATTGAGTGACAGTTCAAACATTAGTTCAATAAAACAGAAGGAATGAATTCGTGGAATAAAAAAAATCCGTGAATAATATAACTCAAAATTATAAGGAGGATGATTAACAGTGAACACAACGATACACCATTTAAGGTCTTTAACAACTGTTCATACATATCCTTCAAACCTCAATCAATTGATAGTCTATACCGACCGAAACAGTTCAAACTAACAGCCAATGACTTCATAAGTTAATCTAATATCTCATGATCTATTTACTCATAAACTTTTTCTAAAAATCTACTTTTATTTTAGTCCAATATTAGATATGTACACAATCTATCAACCGATCAGAAAAATCATGGATAAATATAAGACCAAGAATCAAATCAATGGGAGATACATTCAGAATAAAGAATTAGACAGTGCCAGGTTAAAGGTCAACAATAACCAGTCAAGATCGAGGTCTACAGAATAAGCTGAAGGTCATATGTGGAGAATTTCGAACACTTCACTTCTATCTGAAGTTTGTGCTGATGATTTTGTTCAGAAGAACAATCAAAACCCCACGACCAAACCATCCAGCTCAGAGAACAAAACTTCGCCAAAAATCATCCACCTGAGCTACAAATCTATTCCACCATCTCTTAAACGAAGTCAAGATTAGTAACAACGGGATAATTTGAATTATCTGTAATAATGATATAAACTTTTTTATAAAGTTTATCAACTTACTTATCAGTCGAATTAAGAACAGACGATAACCAATCAGAACATTTAGACATGACATACTCCACGAAAATGTCAGATTGTGAAGCTAATTCCCCTATTCGAAAAAAGTAAAAGAAAGACTGTTGTCGAAATTTCACAAAGCATTTCATGTCTATGTGATACAACAAGAAAACACAACACTTGAACAATCAATTCCGAGTGTGAAAGTTGTTAACAAAATGTAATTGAATAAAGATTGGATTGTAACATCCCTCATTTTTCTATGTTTATGTGTTCATGTGTGTGAAAATGTATTAATGTGTATTATTCATGTGACAATAGCCTTTTGTTTCCTCTTTTAGATGAATAGCTGACATTATCGACACTTTCGTGTTGTCGTACATTTTGTTTATTTTCGATCTCTGTGGATAGTGCTGATCGTACTCTATTGTTCATTTTATTGTGGCCATCACTAGTATAAGTGGATCGACATCCTGAGCAATGTAAGGTGATTGGAGGTAGTCAACAAGAAGCTTATTCCTATCGTGAAGTACTGTCTACCAACCTGCAGGTGTAATATCAGCTGTAATAGAAATACTCGAGAAGACGTGGAATAAGTTCATAAAATCACTGAGTACTAATCTGACCTATACTGGGTAGAAGCAAACTACCTGGTCAGGACCCGAGCGACAACTGAGGTCAGCTGTTTGGGTGTTATTTCTCAGAATCCGTCACTCCACAGTCACTTCTAGATATTGAGCTCCAATATTCTTTTGAACACACATACTTTCATTCCTTCTCAAAGATATGTTAAACCACAAACTGATTCGGACTAGACATTGAGAGCTAAAAATCACTAGATTGCTGTTTCATCCTAGTATGGTACTCCTTAACATTATCCACCAATGACCCTAGAACTGATCAAACAAAAGACCTGTAAGTCTCAGTGAGTGGGTTACATTTAGAAAATTGAATTTACGGTTCGACAATTTACAATTATAGTTTCGATCAAACCAAGTTAATCCGCAATCATCATTCATTCACATCGATGATATGTGTGTAACGCCCAACATGGTCTACTGATCACGGGTCCTCACTTCAAGAATTTCGATTCATTTCGTTACAAATGTATGCATATGTAAATGTGCTAAAGTGAAATTTATGGCAATATTGTGTACTATGTATTGTGGCTTATGACCGCAAGTCTTTTATGGCTTGGGTTACTAATTAATATTACGTGTTATATTACTTAATCAAGATTCTGACTACTGATTGATTCATCTGTATTCCAGAACGACCGATGACCTATCTACCAATTGATACACTGACTCATGAACAACAACCGAGACTGTTACGCTTACTGACCTTCTAGTTCGTTCTAATCCAGTAACCAATCGGAAGACGCAAATAGGAAACAGATCAGTTCTCTATTGTACTCAATTCAACTATGACTCGAAATTCATACAATAATTTACCTACTATTACTGAACATACATCACACTAAATCGCACTATCATACCATAAGTGATGCAGTACATAGTAAATCAACAGTAACTAAGGAATAATAAAAAGTATAAGGATAGTTGGTAGCTCCATTAAAAGCTTACAGTAAGAGGGGTATAGAAATGCAACAATACAGTTATCTACTAATAAAACAATAAAAGCGTAGATAATGATAATGATTCTAAAAGTAGTTCCGGAAGTCCCAACTTTTCCAATGTTCATACCCTTATAATACTTTGTAATGAAAATTCTTTACTGTAATATATACATCTAGTATTGAATAGAGTGATTAACATCATTATATTCACTTGAGAAACCATTAAAATCATGGATATAGTTCCAACTTCAAACCAAGCATTTAATACACAGAGTAATTGTCCATTTGTAATGGGATACTCATGTGTGGTTGCTCGTGGAAGGAAGATATGGTTGATAGCTGAGCGCAGACTGTCAGACACAGATCGTTAACTACAAATGATTTTATTCTTATCAATGATTTCTACTCTGAACTCACTGAGTAAAATAATTATGTTGAATAAAGTGTTGGTTAACGTCATAAACCCTGGTCCTCTATATCTAGTCATGAAATAATTGTATATCCTGTATGACATGATCCAGTCTGTGTACAGCGTATAGATTGAATATCCAATTTAATGGTAACTGTTTAACCACAGGTCATCGATTGATTAAATTATCGTGTTGTAGTATTATAATGTAAACTCACTTGACGTTGTTTTACTTGTATCTTCTCATTGTTGTTTAGGACTGCAGTTGATCAGCCTCTTGTTGGCATATGCGCATCCTATGAGGATTGTCTCGATATAGCCTTAAGTCACAAGCTTTCTAAGTAAAGATGGATAGTGGCTAGCAGTGGAATCCAGGACGCGCGTTTCATCCTACAACAAGAGGCTAATCAACTGCAGTCCTAAACAACAATATGAAGATACAAGTAAGACAACGCCAAGCGAATTTAAACTTCAACCCATTGCACAAGCAGGTGACTATCAGGACTCAGTAGCTAAGTGGATAACGCGATTTTGTTTGAAGCGAACAGTACTGGATTCGAGTCTCGGCGTAAACATCAACTCTGGGATGCAGGTACATCCAGCTGACAAAACGCGCGTCCTTGATTCCACTGCTAGCCACTATCCATCTTTGCTTAAAAACAGTTATTTTTTATTCCTCATTTTTTATAAAAATCAATTTACCTGTTAAATGAGCAAATTTTAATATCCACATAAAACCATAAGCTTGATGATAATTTAATTCCATGTCAGTTTTCATTAATTGTTTTTCAATCCATGTATTCCATATTATCCAATTAGCAATTAATGAATCCCAATAACTCTGAATAAATCAAATCGTACATACAAAAAAAAAAAAAAACAAGAAACGATAATAAATCGATTAATCTTTTGAGTTCATTGTTATTTTCTAGCACCGACCAATACGAATAGATGACTTTAAGCAAACAATAAGCAACAAGGATGAAGAAGACTGATAATCTATAACTGAATATTAACTAGCCCCAAACGAACAGGAAAAGAACACAAGACCAGGTAGATCAGATAGCATCATATCATAAAAAATTGAAAACAACAACTATACAAGATCAAGCTGAAAGTTGTTGTAATTAAGGGAGACTGTGAATAAAGTAAGAATAGTAAATTGTATGAGAGTGGTTAATGGGTCAATCGAAAACTTATGATAAAAGGAATATCAATTCATATAATATGGTGTTTTATTAAATATACAATTAGAATATAAATATAATAATAGTCCATAAATCAGTTCTGAAAGTTACCATTTCTTTAGTCTTTGTTTGGATATAACATTAATATGTGCTCTAACTTCATTTATTTATTCATTTGCAAATGTGGAAGTTTCTGACTGTGATGAAAAGTGATGTACTGACGTTAAGATGGTTGGTAGTAAGTAATCGACAAGAATGCCTAGATCTTTTATCAGCTGGTACTCAACAAGAAGGTGTATGCGTAGTTTGGAAAACACCGGCACTCCCTGATGGGTAGTTCAGTCACACAGTCTAACATGCTACCATTGATTTATACAGCTCGTGACTAAACGTCCTGAAGGATTGAGGTACTTTCACTGAGTAGTCATCAATGCCAAATGAAAACAATCAATCAGAAAAAAATTATGTGAAAATATAAATTAGGAAAATGAATATTATCAACACTTGATTCTAGGTAACTAGCATAGTTCCCTCATCAACATACTTTCAAAGTTGGACCCTTGATCAGCATGTAGCTGCTATATTGCTTTACATCAGGTAATCATCTCATAGTCGAACAATTCTTTCTAGAAGTACTAACACATTATATATATATACGAAAACTGTTACGTCTTGGTAGGAATGACTATGTATTGGGGATTCTGGTTAGCCTACAACAATTACAAATTCAGAAGCGACTGAGACATTCTAATACGAACATTCCTACCTCAGTTGACACACAACTATCACTGAACACTGAAAGAAAATGAAGTATAGGAAAAACTCAATATTCGAACAGAATAACTGTTAATTCTATCGAAGCGTCGAAGTAACCCCGATTGAGATACGCGCAAAATCGAAGTTCCAAAACAACGATTTGTCTACAAAAGCGGTTCTTTATTAAATAATACACAAAATTTAGTTACAAACCTCAACTTGTGAGGTGTCTAGGCGTTTAAACGCGTCGTTCAAGAATGAAAATAGCAAAGGCTTCCTGTAAGAGTAACATAAAGAATGATTACAACATACGATAGTCCAAAGACAGCCGATAGCTGTGTCTAAATTTGGTAACAGTTTATGAACAACCGAAACTCGAACCAAGAGCAAACAATATGGAAACTGTTGCATTCAAACAAATGCATAAAACTGTGGATAACCTTTACAGTAATTAAATTACAGTGATTATAATGATAAATACAATTATAAGTAAAATAAACATTAAAGATATATGTGAACATTCCAGAATGTTACAGTACAACTTGAGTTACAACATAAGTGTGAAAATTGTTGGGTATACAGCTGCCTACTGAATGTAAATAAGTAGTATAAAACAACATACAAAAGAGTAGAAAAGGAACATATAGGAACAATGTAAAACAAACTTAACAATAACATGAAATAGTACAATTCAGTATGTATAATAACGAAGGCATGTTCCTGAATCGTACAAAAAATTGGACGACTAAGAGTAGTGACAACCAATCATAACAAAGGTCAAAGGTTACGCGAAGAACTGATTTAGGAAAAAGGCAAATTCTTTAACATGATAATAACAAAAATGGAGTAGTTTTGTAGATCGCTTTAGTAGAAATGAACCACATTTTTTCAAAGAAAACTGATTATAGTAAAAAAAAAGTAACAACCATGACAACAAAATAACATCAAAAAATCACTTACTTGAATAATATCCAATATGAAAGGAATCCCTATTGCACCAGTCTCTTCAAAACACAAATGAATTGTATCATAGAAGAGTGAAATTGATTGTATTACAACATCTTTGTTCAATTTATCCAAAACATCTGATGGATTATTATTACCAACTGTCTAAATGTATATGGAATTATCATTATTATACAGTATTTAATAAATGTAAAATGCAAGATTGAAAAAAAGACTTTTGATCATCTTTCTACAAGATATTGTTATTCATAAGTCCACTCGTTCACTAGGTATTTGGATATATGAATTATACTCTAGGTGTTAAGGGATAATGATACTAACCGGTCACCCAAAATGTAATAGGTAGAACGGTGTTCGAACTTACTGTTTATCTAAAGCAGGTTAGCTAGTCAATCAAAACAGATTAAAATATTTAGATGGCGTAATGAGAATTCTACCAGAACTAATGTGATATCATATAAGGGCAATTATATTTTATCAGTATAGGATTGTGATGATTGTTCAATTTTAATTAAGATCATGAACTGACTAGATTCGGGAGTTCTGGTCAGAAGCCGTGACCAGTGGAGTTCGACCGTGTTACCCACTGAAGACAGTGCAAGGTGTTCGCGCATTATCGTGGATCAATTAAAGTTAGATATTATTACCTTTGAATTACATCTCAGTAGTCTAAAGGTTAAGCGTTCGCAGGCGAGACCGAAGATCCTGGGTTCGAGTCCCGTGTGCAGGATCGTAGATGCGCACTGCTGAGTTGTCCCATACTAAGATGAAACGGCCGTTCAGTGCTTCCAGGTTTTCCATGATGATCTAGCTTCGATTGACTCATGAATTCAACTGTTAAAATTACTATGACCTCCAAAAATTCTCATTCTGAAAATAAATTTTAAATAATGGAAACTATGAGATGTATATAAGAGGTTATTTATTATTACTGCCCCCAAATGCCTTGGTATGGCCGAGAGAAGGGTGGGCCTGTCCTCCCTCTCGAAATGCTCTCACACGGCCACGCGTATACAGCCTTTGCCATTTTAAATAATCAAACCTATGAGAGATATATAAAAGGAGAAAGAAAGAAAGAAAGAAAGAGAAAACGAATAAAAATATAACTTACAATATTTAATTCATTTCGTTTATAATCAAATTGTTTATGTATATAATTACTGAATAATTCTGGCAACTTTATAAATGGATGAATAAATACTTGAATTAATTGAATAAAAGCCAACTTGAAATTGTCAACATTATCCTGATTAGAATCAATATTATTGTTATTTATTCTTAATAAGGTTGTTATATCTTTGGAACAAACTTTTCTGTTTGTTATGTCTGAAAAAGAAATAAAAGTAATGATTAAGATTGTTACTGTTATTAATAAGAATACTAATGTTAATCAGATCTAAATTATTTTGAAGGTGTAATATATCTCCAGAAGGAGGAATCGAATATGTATACGCCACACAAATGAATTGATTTCTGTGAAGGCTGGAATACTGCCTGAGTTCCCAAACTGAAGCAGGCAGTTTTCTTAAGAAGCCATTACCCAACCTCTTGACCTAGAAGTCTAATCCGCAAGGCAGTGAAGCAACGCTAGGAGATGCAGTCCCGTGGTAGCTGGTGATCAACAATAGGTTCATATGCCATTTGTTTCCTTAGGATCCTGGAGTCTATGTGCAGTTTCGGTTTGGAGTCAGAGTTTTCCAACTCCCCTAGTTGGATCCTCCATATCTGTCAACCCGGTTAGAGTCTGACATTCGCTTTTCGTCCTCCAGCCGCAAGAAGGCACTGAGTATTTGGCGTTGTATAGTTTTATTATACAGCTACCGTTGTTTTTAAGATATGGTAGAAAATTTCCGGCTTAAGTCAAGCTTCATTCTCTAAGCTGAATGGTTTAATACTTCTGAGCTTTACTGTTATTTTTAGTATTCTCTATAGAAAATTTCAAAATTTCCTCCCAGTTGAATGTATGTTCATAATTGTCAACGTCTATTAATGTAAGCGAAGATATATCATTGCGCTTGAGAGCTAGTTCGTGTTTATACAAACGAAGATAAACAGACAGCCTATATATATATATATATATATATATATATATATATATATATATATATATATATATATATTCGATCATGAACAGTAAAAACTGACAGTTAGGTGTTTTTTCCTATAAATCATGACGCATAGTGATCAGCAGGATTCGATCAACAATACAAAGGACTTGAAATACATGACATTGGTCACTACTCAGTGATCAACCAACCAATTATAAATATACCTTATTCATACAGCAGATCAGCCGGCACCTGAACAACTCAGTGATAACATCCTTGACTATGAAGCTAGGTGACACGGGATCGAATCCGCCAAGGAGAACCAGTTCCGTCAAGATTACAGATATACTATGTTGATAAGTTCCAAGTAGATCGGAACTTAGATAGAGAAGGATTTCCTGCCAGCTACTTCTAACCATGACCTTACATCTCAACAACATAGTGCATGGGGTGTCTTCTCACTTAGATTAGTGACCAAATTGCAACTGCGTCGACTTAAGTCGATAAGCACTACGAAGCACATGACAAACATAAACATTGGTCACTACTCAGTGATCAGTCGATTAAAGACAATAAAATTAGTTACCTGAATAAAAAGGAATTAGTAATTCTTCAAAATACTGTAAACATCCAATAGTTACCTGTGGAAATAAAATAAATGTAAAAATATGTGATTGATATTTTTCTCCAGAAAAAAATTTATCCAATCACTTAGTAATAAACTAGATAAGGGATCTGGACACAGATATTCATCGATACAACTTGCTACAGTTTACACTGATACAATTAAGTTATGCAATTGCTTAGTAGGATGAATATATTGGGAACAAAAGAACACAATAAACATAAATATACGTAATAAAAAACGTATGGAATGTTATTGAAGACAAGAGTTGGGAAGAATATAGGGAATGAATAATATGTCCAATTGCAACCGATTATAAGACATAAACACCTAAGATCTTATACTATCTATCACAGTTACCTGACATACCTTTAAAAAATCCAAGGTAGTTCGTACCCACTGCTACAGTGTAGACCAACAACGAGTCACTACATGGACTGGTGTCTCGTTTTAGTCTGACCACCTTAGAGATTTCCTTCAATATAATTCTAACCAAAACACCGTTAAATATAAAGATGTATATGATGAAGCTATAGTTTCGCTATAATTAAAAAGACCATATACCTAACTTTAATATTGCTCACTCATCAATATTTGGTTGTTAACATAGAAAGAAGATGTGGTGTAGGAAGAACTTAGTATAAGCACTAACCAATGCAAGACCTTCAAATAGCAGCCAATTAGGAAAAGAACAAATGTTATGCAAAATGTTCAGTAAGAGAGCACTTGTGATTACTTCGTTATTATTGAAACTAGAGCATTTTTAATAATAATTAAGCAATCCTGAGATTTACTCCCAACCTACAGATGTTCACCTATTTCAAAAAGTTTATTTCTCTATAGGAAATGGGGAAGCAGAAGGGTCACTATAATTTATGGACTACTTTAGAGCGACGCCAAAGTGACCTTGAGATAAGTCACCTACTTACTAAGGTCAAAAGGTTATAAATTAGGATTAGGATTTAGAGCTAGAATTTAGGTCTAACAATTAAAATAAGGATTTTCATCACGAACTGACAAGCTATAATGTCGGAATTTTATTCAGCTATATAAATGAATGAATTTTGCGCCGAAAATCAACGCTTGTTATCCTTAATTTCATTGATTCATCCCTAAAATATAGTCTCGTTAACAGAAGTTTCTTCTCAACTTGGTTATCCGATACACAAATACAGTAAACATGTGAGAGACCAGATAACGTTCCAATGAATACAGTTCAGTTAGTCATAAGCATAGCAGAACCTTAAATATATGTGAACCAGTCCAAGTCGCCAAACTACATCAACACAGTGCGATGAGATTAAGACAAACATCAGAGTAGTAGAAGTCGCGATAGTAACAGTGGTTGTAGTAGAAAAGACCACATACACAGACAATATGATTCCAGAATAAATAGTATAAGATAGTTTTAAGATTCAATACTTGAGGGAAAGTAAAGAGTGAATGCATCTGGATCATTGTGACCGCTTGTGAGACATCACACACCTAAAACAACTTTTAGTTACAGTAATCATGAGGAAAACCAAATAGAATATAGTTTGCACCCACTAACACACCTTGATTATTACTTACTTACTTACTTACGCCTGTTACTCCTCGTGAAGGAGCTAGGCCGCTTACCAGAATTTCCATCCAACCTTGTCCTGGGCAATCCTTTCCAGCTCCTTTCAGTTGTTATTCATCCTTTTCATATCTGCTTCTATTTCCCGACTTAATGTGTTCTATGGCCTTCCTCTTTTCCGCTTCCCTCCAGGATTCCAAGTTAGGGCTTGCCTAGTGATGTAGTTTGATGATTTGCGTAATGTATGTCCTATCCATTTCCATCGTCTTTTCCTAATTTCTTTTCACTTGGAAACTGGTTTTTTCTCTCCCAGAGAAGGTTGTTGCTGATGGTATCCAGCAAATGGATGTTGAGTATCTTGCGTAGACAACCATTTATAAAAACTTTTACCTTCTTGATGGTGGTTGTTGTAGTTCTCCAAGTTTCAGCTCCGTATTGTAGAACTGTCTTGACGTTCGTATTGAAGATTCTCACTTTGATATTGGTTGAAAGTTGTTTTGAGTTCCATATGTTCTTCAATTGTAGGAGTGTGGCCCTTGCTTTGCCAATCCTCGCCTTTACGTCTGCATTTGAACTTCCTTGTTCATCGATTATGCTTCCCAGGTATGTGAAGGATTCTACATCATCCAGAGTTTCGCCATCAAGAGTGATTGAATTGCTGTTCTCCGTTTTGAATTTGAGGACCTTGGTTTTCCCCTTGTGTATATTGAGGCCTACTGATGCAGAGATTGCTGCTACACTGGCTGTCTTTATTTGCATTTGTTCGTGTGTATGCGATAGAAGGGCTAGGTGATCTGCGATGTCCGAATCGTCTGACTGATTCTAAGCTGTCCATTGTATGCCGTGTTTTCCCTCAGATGTCGAGGTCTTCATAATCCAATCGACCACCACCTTGATTATACAATCACTAAATTCACTGACTGATAGCCCCGTAATACATTTCACAGATAATATTTCTAACTATCACACTGAGAGACAAGAAACAAGTACTATCTACTCTCAGAAGACAAAAAATCCGAAGTCCTATTACAGGTTAACCATTATGAAATCTAACTTCGGGGTTATCTACCAGTATAGAGGTTGTGGAGATTATTAAGTTTTTGACTGAGATCATGGATCGATTGATGTTAGACCACCGTTGGGAACCTGAAAGCAGTGGACGGGGCTATCTATTGATTTTTTCCAAACACCATTAAATATTTATATAAATAACATACAAAATAATAAAACCAACATACACGAAATAAACATCCAATTAATTGATAATTCACTATAGAATTGGTAAATGTTTGAAATGGCTTAAATGATTTTAATGAATCGGTAAAATCCATAAGTAATTCAATAGGAAAAAGATATTCTGACTTTTGTTGGTGTTGTTCTTCATGATGATGATGATGATGATTACAGTTAGGTTGATCTACTTGACAGTGAAAAATTAATTTTGCATTTAACTACAATAGACAAACAAATAACGAAAAACAAAGAAATTGTTTTATGTATTATCAAGTTAAAATTTCACAGGTTGAAATCATGAGTCAGTTGAAGCTAGACCACCATTGAAAACCTGGAAGCACTGGACGGCCGTTTCGTCCTGGTATGGGACTCCTCAGCAGTGCGCATCCACGACCCCGCACCACACGGGGCTCGAACCCAGGACCTACTGACTTCGCTGAAGACAATGGTGTACGGTGGCGCAACTTCTTGGATTGGTTGAAGTTAGACATTAACACTGTTGGATGCCGGCCCAGTGGTCTAGTGGTTAAGTGCTCGCGCGCGAGGCCGGTAGGTCCTGGGTTCGAATCCCGTGATGTGCGGGATCGTGGATGCGCACTGCTGAGGAGTCCCATACCAGGACGAAACGGCCGTCCAGTGCTTCCAGGTTTTCAATGGTGGTCTAGCTTCAACTGACTCATGATTTCAACCTGTGAAATTTCTAAAACTCTCCACAAAACCCATTCTGATAAGTTACAATTTGTTTATGATTTTACAGTACACATTGATTGGCTCTAAAATTCTAAAATCCAATTAAGATTAGTAGCGGGATAAAAGGTAAGTGTTTTGTCCTATTTAAGACTCATCAGATAGATGTACTTGCATCCCAGACTTGATCTACATATGTTAACAATGACTGATCGAATTTCAGTTAAAAATATTAACAGAATAATTTAAACCATTACAAATCAAATAAAAATTCATACTCGTTGTATAAATGAGTGCCTATGAACACTCAGTGGATAATGTATTGTTGTTCGAAGCGCAAAGTACTGATTTGAACACCAGAGTGGATGTCAACCGTAAAGTGCAAATAAATCTAGTTGATGAGTCGCAAATATGACAAAAGACGCGTCTTGGATTCCATTGCTAGTCACACATTTCATCTATTTTATATAAGCATATATTTAAGTCATATACACCAGTGCATCATTGTCTTTGATCACGGAGTCATTTTGGATTCTGCAAAATTCAAGTTACTCTTCAGTTTTGTAGTTCCAGTTTGAGTAAGTTACGCTAACATCAATATCAGGACGTAATCTTTCGGTTGCATAAGATTGTTCATCAACCGTTCACAAAACAATTCCACAACTGTAACAGTAAAACTACACTAAATGGCAGATCGTGAATTTGACTCCCTTAAAATGACAGTGAAAATTTACCTGGCACTATTATAATTAAGCAGTAGTTTGGTAAACTCGTCATATAAGGAAAATACTATAAGAAGCAATGAAACCTAAATAGATAAAATGTTTTTTTTAAATATGGCTAATAAACAAATTTCTAATGTTAAAATCAACATACTGCTACTATTATCATGTTTGATGAATATATGTACATTGGTGATGTCCCCTAACCCAATTCATTAGTAATTATTAATTTGATTACAAACCGGTCCAAGTTGAGCAGACACTAAGTACAATAAAGCACTGGACAGGTATTTCGTTCTAGTATGGAACCCCTTAGCAGTGCTCAATCACAACTACTCTGAGCATTGAACCCAAAACTTCCAGGACTCATGTTGATGGCTTAATCTTCAAATCACTAGATTGCATGCCTAACTTGTGGATGTAAACTGTTGAGAAGTTCCATACTTGAATGAAACAGTTGTTCAGTGTCCGTTGGATTTCAGCTCATATAGTAACGGAAGTCAATCGTTAGTTGGAAGAAACGCTGAGGGATGGGATAACTGAGGAAACAGATAGACAACATAATTCATTTGTTCTACTGCAGTGAGTGAAGACTTAGTTGGGAAACCAATTTATTGTTTAATGCAAAATTACAGAACGTCTTTGTAAAATATGGAAACCATGCATTGAATGCATTATTTTCACATCTTTCTGCAGTTGTCTTCCAAATGTCTCATGATTTTTTCATTCCTGTTGTTATTACAATTGCTCTGTTTCCCTTCTCGTTCTCTTCAGTTCAATCTCCTGTTGGCAGCCAATTTCGCTTTGATTGGTGCTACATACTACTTATATCTGCCAACACAAGTAGCATACACCAAACTACTAGTGAAGTTTGATGGGGAGTACAGATTCTGTGTCGACTTCAGAGAAGTGAACAGTATTACTGAACTGAGATCGTGTACAATCCTCACAGTGATGGAAACTTCAGACCACCTACAAGGAGCCGAATTGTTTACGATATTAGACCTCCGGTCAGGGTATTGGCAACTTTTAATATAAGCAAGCGCGACAGATACAAGACGGCCTTTGGTGTGGGCCACAGACAATAGCAGTTTAAACGAACGCCATTTGGACTGGCAGACTCACCTCCTACTTTTAAAAGACTGATGATCTTATTACTTCGACATTTGGTAGAGGGTCGAGGTACATGGAGATAATCTAGTAGTGTACAGACAAACAGAGAAAGACCACAAGAAACAGACGTGGTCCTGAGGTGAACCAATAAACTTGGCTTACGTATTAACAAGATTATCGTTACCCTGGCAGCGACATCGGATGTAGCACAAGGCACTGGGCAGAAGTGAACAATTGTTTACTGAAACTTTTCTCTCCGTCTGTTAACTGTAAAAGCTCCCACATCACTTTCCCCTACATACTACTTACACGCAATCTTGTTAGTAGTTTTCACCACATAACAAACTTAACAAAATCCTCCAACTATAATAATAACACTAACTATATAAATGATGCCAATCAATGTTAACAAGTAAAAAATTAGTTTTAATTCTCATAAACTGACCTGTCCTTTAAAAAAGCATATCAATAAAGCATAGAAATATATGATATTATTGACCATTGGTGAATTCATCAACTGATCAGTTGAATTCAGCTCGGTGTCAGGGTATATTGGCAAACAATTTAATTTTTGTCGTTCTTTATTTGTAAATATTTTCGATTGATAAGAGGATAGTTTTTGTATAATGACAGGTAATACCACCACCATCATTGTCAAAGAGTCCGATTTATCAGTTGTAGTATTTTCTACTGTTTGACAAGCACTAAGATCCCAAAAGCCGGCCACTTGTTCCTTTAGGTTTATAATAATAATAATAATAGTGATGATAATAAATATTATTTGATTAAAAATGACTTAATAAGATTATACCATTAATATTTTGTAGAGAGAGTGAAATGCTTTTATTTATTTGAACACATAAATAGTGGTACAAACGGGCACCGAGTACATATATGAAAGCATTTCGAGAGGGAGAGTGGACTCTCCCCACCCTCAGCTGTACCAGGACATTTGGGTGCTGAGTGAAATATGATTGGTCACCGAGCGTGGACAAACAGGTTCTTGACGGTACTGTCTATTAAATGTGATTTTCCTTCCTGTCATTGATTTATATTCCGGATTCAGTGAGTGTAACTGCTTGCAATCGTGTTGAATGAAGTATCATCTAGTGTTAACCCGGTTCTCAATTCTGAGTAGTGAATCCTTGATCTGATATAAGATGACTAGGCTTATTATCGTATTAACGTATTTTCGTAGTATACCAAAGAAAAAAATATTTTGAACAGTCCGTTATACCAACCATAGAGATGAACTAAAAAATAGCGAAAATACGACAGTGATAAAAGTAGTCTACTGACGGCCTTGAGTTAACCAATAAGTATTCAGACAACACCTCATGTATTTTGCGCAAAATCTAAGCTGCAGTGATAAATATCATGAGTGTTATTATTAACCAAGTGAAAAATGGCTTTAGTTGATTCTTAAAAGGATTGAAATCAATATAAAAATACTTAATATGCAATCGAAAAGTGAATTTAAGATGGTGGTTAGTCAAAATTACTTAAAACAACTGCTTCTATGGAAGATTGTGCGTAGTCAAGAATGCCCAGTGAGACTAGATAATATTTACATTTTCTAATTATTACTCTAAATCTCAACCACAAGTTTCTTAAGTTTCTTAACAGAAGAATGACAAAGCATTGCATCACAAATGATGTAAGTTTGTGAGGAAAAACCTAATTGTAATTTGCAAAAACCCAACCCAGAACTCCAGTTTAACTCTTATTACTTAACCCTAACCTTTTACATTATAACCTATGTAGAGCTTTTATTTTTCCCTATAATCTATTAATTTAAAATAACTGTTATGTGATTAGATAATAACAGACTTAAATTTCTCGTACTTGTTTTCAGCATCTTTAAACCTAAACTCAAACACTATATATCTTTGGACCAATTATTCCATCTAGATTTAATCTGTACAAATAATGTATTCATTTTATGAAAATAAAGAAATATTATGATATGAATGAAACAAGTAGTTAGTTTCAAGATGTAGTTGTTAGGAAACGGGTACTAGGTAAGGATGGCAAATCAATTGATGAAGTAATGAAACTTCATCAGTTGAGATGGCTGGGATATGTGTTACCTATGCTCAACCACCGACTGCCTCGACGTGCGATGTTTTATGGTGTACTAGTACGATGAAAGAAAGCTAGGGGCGGTCAGACCAAAATATGGAACAAATCCATGAAGTCACTGACAAGTGAACTGAGCCATATTGGTAGATGTAGGACTGTCTGATTGGGATCCATGAGACGATAGAAACCGATGGTTAGAGACCTTGAATGTGATATGGCTGAGAATCGTTTGCAATGGAGCAAGTGCATCCACTCTTTGTGTTCTCCCATATTCTAATCTTCTGGATTCTTCATGTCCCCTTTTTCCTCTTTCCAAATTTATTTCACTGGATTAACATCTTCAAACCCTAATGTTTCCGATTACTGCTTATACTGTTAATACCTCTACCATTATGGGATTAGAATCGACAACTGTATCTCAATGCTAATGTGGTATGACAAATCGAATTAATGTACGTACGTACGAAGTTCTACGTTGTTACTGACTGACTAACCAACTGAAACTAAGTTAACATCCCCTTTTCTAGATATCTTATTGACAAGAAGATTAGATGGAATAATCAAAAGAAATGTTAATCATGAACTGACTACACCAAGTCAATATACATATTTCTTGAACATTGTTCCATCAGAATATGAGCAAAATTTAGTGAAATGTTTGGTGCATAGAAAAAAAAATTAATTGCTCTGAAAACATTTTCGAGGCAGAAATAAATTTTATCCATGATCTACTGTGTAAAACATGGATATACAACAAAATTCCTAACAAAACATATGTTCATAAGAGAATCTAAATTAAAATCACCAACAGTACCGGAAGAAGTCCTTATTTTTAAAATTACAGTTCAAAGGTGATATAGCCAGTGAGATAATGAAACGACGTATAGGCAAATCCATAGGATAACACACTTAACACAGCTAGATTATGTCCTACTTTCTTTAGTCACGTATTATTGTGTCCCTAAAATAAGGATAAACTGCCTAGTTCCATGACTTCTGTGTATATTTACCAGTTTATCTATTCTTATGGAGCCAGCTATTACAATTGACGTACAACCACACACGTACCATTATGATATTTATGAACATCACTCCACTTGGTTGATCAAACAAAAAAGAAAGAAAACAAGCACCGTTTTGGTCTATTTATTAAATACTGGTCATCATATCAAAGCAACTTCAAATTCGATTGAACTTGATATAACTATGATCAAACTTTGTCTTTGACATATCACAAGAACCACAGGTATAAATACATAAGTGAACCTAATCTTTGTGTACAAAAGAAGTCTTTTCAAATTCTTAATTTTCTACAGTCTTCTTCATTCAAAGTATTACTTTGCTCAAAAAATCTCGATTCTAAACAATGTTAATTGATAACCTTATTTTATGTCATCTATCTATTTAAAACTTACTTAATTCTTACACAACCGATTATCATAATTCACCAATTACGCAATCGCATCATTAGATCTAATTTTATGTCTGTTGAGTTTCTAACTGTGATTATCGTTTCTAGATAAAAACATGGTTAAATTGACTAACCAACGTTTATTCGATAACGATTTTATCCTTAACTGTAAAAGATGTTATACAAAACCAAGGAAATAAAGTGGACACACTTCTTATACGTGGTTCAAAAACTTGTCAAGGTTAGAAAGTGGTTCACAAGTTCTAAAATCGTAATGCGTGCAGTAGAGGAAATCATCCATACGCCTACAGAATAGTCGGCCTCTGGAAACATGATAAAGTCTCAAAAAATTGTTTCAACTTCGACCACATAGCTTCAATATTGTTTATGTGCACTTCGGTTGATGAGTGCACAAAATGCTACTTGTGGATAACGACATGATGCACATAACCAAGCCTATGTAGGAGTCTGTACGCTCTTCAAACATCCGTATATATTGTAGTACCTGGCTGCTGCCAGTGTTACTGGTGCTTTTATTATCCAGTTCGCAATAATTGTCGTAATTTGCCTTAGTTAGGAATTATATATGGGGTTTTCATCACGAACTGACATCAGCTATAATGCCAGAAATTTATTTAACCAAATGGATGAAAGGCTTTCGCATTAAAATCCGAGATCTATTATCTTATGCCTGATTGATTCGTCCACAAATTATAGTCTCGCCATCTTATTTGTTATAGCCGCTCAATTATCACGTTTTGTACAAAATTCCCTGTGTACCGATCGTACGTTAGCATTAAGCACTGAAGTTGGCGCCGTAACCTTGAAATCTCTAGAATGCTTTTGATTGGCCCGTCCATAAATTAGAGTCTCGCCACAAATTTATTTGTAGCTGCATAAATACATTGATCCTTAACTTTTGCTTAAGTATATAGCCTTATTATTATTATTATTATTATTATCAGGGTTGTTCCTTGTCAGCAATCTTATTTAACTTTGTCATAGATATTCTTTTGAACAAGATACTCTCATTGTCGGACTTGTCAGAAGTCGATCTACCAGGAAACTTAGGAAACGATATGGTCCTGTTTGGTGGCGGTTCTAAGAAAATGCAAAGTTTGCTGGTCGCCTAAGTTAAAACTCTAGACATATACGGAATGCAATTTTCTCTTTTTGAATGCAAAATGTTACTTCACGGTTACTCTGCATCAGCACCTGAATTAATGCTAAGGAGAAAATTTGTTAAGTGTGTCGAACAACTCAAAACTCTACTTTAATGCTCTGCTAATTTGGAAGTTTTATAAATCATGATGAGTGAGAAATGCTGGGGTTGGGTATAGGGTATTAGGTAAACATGAGAATCAATTGATAAGGTGGTTAGAATATGTTACTTATGCACAACTACTGCTTAGCTGGACGGATGTTGATGGCTGATGTGGAGATAGACTGGAAGAAAGCTAAGAGCACCATCAAGATGAGAATGTCAAGTTTAGAATACAGAAATGGTATTCAATAATCTACACATTTTCAACATCAAAATTGATCGAAACAAATAGCTTACTTGTTCTGGACATTGGGGTTAAGCTGACACTCGGTGTTCGATATTCTGAGGACTAGTTTAGAATAGTATCTGTAGTAAATCAAGCCCTACGGACATCAATACTATATTACTTTCAATCTTAATTATATAATAAAATTAAATGCAACTATCATTTTTCGAAAAAAAAATAGTGAAACTATGCGATGAAATTTACTATTTAAAGATAAAATAACATACTACTTACTTTTAACCAAGTAGTATAATATTTTCTAGCCGAATTTTCTCGCCCAATCCGACATAATAAATTAATTAAATGTGAAGTTAATTTTAAATGATCATTTTGATAATGCATTTCAGTTGTTTTTAATCTGCTATTATTGTTGCCACTATTATTATTATTATTATTATTGCTATCAACATTAGCATAATTGTAATTGTCATTAGTTAACATTAATGTATTCATTGACATCATGAATAAACTTAAATCATCAAATGATTGAATTAATTTTGGAGCTATTAAAGTTTCTAAATTATTTTTATACTGATCAACTTGTTTTATACGTTCATCATAATCATTTAAATGAATAAAAGATGCCTGTAGAACAAATGAAAACAAAAAGAGAAAGAGAGAGAAAAAGGGGGGATAGAAATTAGATAAACAAAACAAAACAGTTAAAATCAGAATTTACTATATCTGTATGATATTATACAAGCTATCAAACAGTTAATCAACTTATCAAGTATAGATTTATGTGGATGGCTTCAAACCGTACTTTAATGGCAAGAATTAGTGATAAAACTAATCGGTTGTTCAACTCAAAGTAGGTGAAACGGAGTTTAAAACTTGAATCACTGCTTAAAAAAAGGTATCCAAGCTACTAACTGACAATATCTGAGGCTAAACGACATTGTATTTATACCACAAATATTTGTAATGCTATAAACACTCATAGATTGGTCCTTTTCTCTATAAATAACTCTGATGCTTGCGTCGTTTTCGAGTTTGGTAGTTTGTCAAAGATGGTATAAGCTGTGCCGATAAATTATGTTTATTCTTAATTTTAAACGATTTGAGGGATAAATCGAGCGGATTTACTGTGACGACAATAAATAAACAATTCAAATCAACGAAGAATTCATGTATTCATGAATCCAGATGGTAATGGGTTCGACTTCTGTTTGAAAGTGATCAATCATAGGTGTTTACAAGAGTCTTAGACTGAAATAAACAGTAAGTGTTCAATGTTAGCTAATTATCAATGATTTTGCCATCTTATGCTAATCCATGACAAAAGTCGTTTTTTATCTATTAATATACAAAAGTTTACTTACTAAACATTGACTCATCCCCTCAATACTCGAGCAAAGCTATAGAGAAAAAAGAAAAGTAGACAGGAAAATATCACATTCCCGTTTATATTAATATATATAATTAATTAGCAACAATTAATGCCCAGTGGAGCCCAACTATATCGAGTGTGAATATCATGAATAAATTAAAGTTAGATTGTTAACCTTTGAATGCCAGCTCATTGGTTTGATCCCTGGTAGAGTTGTGGATGTCCATTATTGAGAAGTCCAATACTAGGACGAAATAGTTGTCAAGACATTTTTGATTGATAAAGAGTGTGTAGATAAAATCACTTCTTAATGTGAATCTTAGAGATTGATTTGAGTACATAGTCTGGAAGGATAAAGTTGATAACTTTTGAAAAGAGGATATATACGTTGTACGAAATGAATCCAATCAGACAAGAATAACTTATAATAGAAAATATGGGAATATCAGTGAATTTCGACTGAAGTAAACTTATATTAGATTCCACATTAATTATGACTAACGTGTACACAATCAGGTGAAATGTCAATTTAATTTGTAATACTTTAGATTATCCCATTGTCGATATTTTGATTGAATGCTTCCTATCAGTCTTAGTTAGCAAATGTACATTCTAAACGGATTGCCTTGATATAGCCATTATGACATAAGTTTAGATAGAACAGATGGAATGTGATTAGCGTAGAATCCGGGATGACCATTTCTTTCAGGCTGTATGTAAATACATACTAGAGTTGGAGTTCTGGAGTGGACAGCAACCTTGGGATCCAGCTACATCCAACTGATAAGTCTCAAGTAAGGAAAAACGAGTTTCTTGGATTCGATTGCTAGATAAATCCCATATTTTTACCTTACATAAACTAGTTAACATACAGAAATGAAAATATTTACCTGATCAAGATCACCAACTTCAAACAACTCGTCAATACATTGCATCAGATTAATCCATCGATCTGTTTCACGTAGTGCGTCAGCTGCTGATTGAGCATTTCTACGTGTTCTATCCAATTCAACCAAGGAATTGACAATATTTTGACTGTTATCATCCAACTGCATGTTCAAGTCAGAAAGGAAATAAGTATAGAAAAAATGTTGGCTAGGTACCCATGTAATTTATTTTTTGTTTATTGTTCATACTACTCGTTAATATTCAGTAATTGGTTACATTTATTTATTAATTTCCAAACGTACGTTTTTGTTGTGCAGTATCTCCAATTATTTACACAAATCTATAGTATTTACCGTACTTATTATCGTAATTACACTTTCTAAACCGTTCTAACAGTTATTTATAGCATTTATAGATTTCATGGATGTTTGTTTAAACGCAACAGTTTCCATATTTGTGTGCTCTTATTGCTTATTTTAATTGCTGATAGTTTTTGACTGACTTCAGACACAGTTATCGTTCTTTTCACAACAGGTTTGTAGTCGGTGTACACACATTTCAAATTAATTAAAGCATTTTTTTAGATAAATCGTAGTTTACGAACTTCTCAATCATGTGGTTAGACCTTGTCAGGTGAGTGTACTTGCATTTCGGTGATAATGTCTGTCTCATTAAGATTGAAGCCAAGCTCCTTTAACTTCAAATGTCCACCCGTTACCAACATATTTGCTGAGTCCATATAACCATCAACTTGTTCAACAGGCATGGTGATACTTCAAAATGACTTTATTGTTATACATTGATTCTCTACAAATTCCCTCGATATAAACATTTTGAGTTTAAGTTCCAACATGAACATTAATATCGGAGATACAGGTACCTCCAGCTGACGAGCCCCAAATAGAATGAAATGAACGCCCTGGATCTTACTGCTAAATACAATCTATGGATTATAAACACTTGGACGGTATCATCACTTTTTACATTATATTGCGAATTGATTGAAGTTAGACATGTATACTATTGAATGCTGGCTCAGTAGTTAGGCGGTTAATCGTTCGTGTTCAAGAATGAAGTTACTGTGTTCGATTCCATACGACGGGGCCATGTGGGTTCCTATTGTTGAGTTGTTCTATATTAAGACAAAATGAGCCTCCAATGCTTCCAGATTCATAATGATGGTTTAGCTAATATTAGTTCGTGACTTAAACCATGAAAATTATACATGCTCCACAAACCCTTCCGTAATTATAAATAGTTCTGTTGAAAAAGGAATAAATATTTATTTATATATAGTGCATTATTGAAATCTGGTGGATTATATATATACCCGTACAATTTGTAGTACGCCAACTGGCGGCCTGCTTGAATATCTAAGCTACCTGTTCCTGTAATCAGGATATTTAAACAAGTTACCTGTCTTTTTTGTCTTAACACATCATTATGTCTATTACTCGCATAATCTATTCAGGCGAATTTAGGTAAAATTCACGACCTTTCACTATACAATGAGAGACATCATGGTGGCTGACAGTAAATATGCATTGAAAGGAATGAACATTATTCAGATGTTGATTCCTGAAATGTTAACATTTAACTGGCGATCACACAATATTTATCGTCAGGTTCGTTCAAGAAATTCTATATTGTACCAAAAATATAACAATAATAATAATAATAATCACCTGATTATCATCTTGTAAGGTTTTTAAATCTGCTTCTAAAGTGAGAGCATCAATTCTTACTGTATCAATTTCACGTAGAACACTAAGAAAATGAAAATGCAATCATTGCATTGAGTGATGACGATGCCATAAAAACAGAACTTAAGTGTTTTTTTTACCAGGAGTAAAATAAAAAACGTTGTACAGTGTGAACATGATGCGAACTTATTAAAAATATTAAGTTATGTCGTCAGGCATTTGAGAAACATCTACAATTAATTGAGAAGTTATCTGCCACTTGAAACCGAAGACAAAAAATGATAAACTCCATTTCTTTTAGTTAATCAGCATCTTAACAGAATCTTTTAAAAGACTATTTCATTTTGATGCTTCCTAATGAGAATCAGGTGAATAGCCAAAAGTGTTACTACTTAGAGAGACAATTTATGAAAGTTCCAAGGTGATTTCATTTGATAATAATTGTACGGTGCGATCAATAAGTTAATTCACCAACGACAGTGTTAAACGACCACCAATTTTATCAAGCCAAGTAGCTAACTTGTTCTGACTTTGACCAGCCTAAAACTCTGTGTTCGACAGCTTAGAATTGCATTTGTAGGTGAATAATTCCTACAACAATTACCATATTAATGTAATAAGTTTGGGGAGATTGTTAAGTTTGGTAGATCGCATCAAAAAGTTGAGCTAGCTACACAACCACCGGAAACGAGGATATAAGAAACAGCGGTTTTGTTATAGTATGGGAGTGCTTAGAGATACACACCGATGACCGCACTAACCATTGAACATTGGACCAACTAAGATCAATCTGTGATGTAAACCACACGTTTCAACAATTTCCACAAAACCCCTACATTGTCTTACCAACGTTAAATAGTTTGAAAAGATGTCATGTATTCGTCGCATCAAAGTACCTCTATTTCCGTGTTGATGTTCAAACTGAGATTTGAATTTAGTAGTACATTGAGCTTCAAACTTATTATCCACTGAAGAACTGAGTTCAGATATAACCACAAGTCTATGATAAGATGAAAATATTGAGGCAATCTCCTCAGGATGGACATATGCCAATAAAGACCGGTCGATTGTAATCCTTAACATCAATAACGGGAAAATAAAAAGCATTACAAATAAAAACTATTTCGATCTGACTTTGTGATTGGACCCACCATAAACAGAAAAATGACGTTTTCGGATTTCGAGAGGAGTACAAAACCTACAGAGAACTGACCTACCACTGATTGGTCAGTATTTTTAAAGTTCATAGAACTTGTGACGTGGTGAATGATCCCTAACCAATTTTTTTACTTGAAATACAACAGTACTTGCTTACCGAGGAATAGAAACAATGGCTTCTTGACAAGTATGATCTAGTGTTTGCATTACATCCTGTATAATGGAAATAGTAAAATAAGTATGATTACGCAATTCAAGAGAGTCTGAATTAACTAGTAATAATCAGACAATCATACCCAATATATAGCTGGTACACACATGTGTCAATTCAACTTATCACATCATACCGGGACAACGAGAAGAACTAAATAGTGTTTCAAAACAGGATAATATGATTGTATCATTTAAGGTTTAGGATGAAAAAAAATTTGGATGGGTCTAACACAGTGTGACCGATTCTGAAAAACCACATAACGTCTGCAACCATTAACTATAATTACGAGAAACTGGACTACTTACATGGCACAGTCCAACGGTTAATGACTTTATAGATTGATGTCATGTCTTGATTTCCGGTCACTTGCTTTTTCCAACATACTCCCACATTAACATTGTGGTTGATCATGTGATATATGTATTTACCATCTCAATCGATGAAGATACACGACCTAACCGACTGATTCTCCGTGTTCACCTAGAATTCTGAGTTTAATTTTAGCATAGCTCACTCTATGATCCCAATATACAACAATAATGTTACGAATACAACTATGATTGAATAGTATTAAATTAAGAACATACTCCCTTTTTAAAGACAACGTTTCACAGCCACAGAGCAGAATAGGACGAACTCTTGAGAAGAGAAATTATCACGTCCACACCACAAGCTGACAAATGTCAAGGGATCTAGCTGAATACATGAGATTTCATCAGACATCATGCTGGTTCAATTTCATAAGCAAGGTGTACACATATAATTATAAATGAACTGATCCTCTCTGTAAAATTTAAGCCAATTATCTGTCAACTACTACAAAAACTTAGATGTACTCATTGCGTTATTCGAACCAAACACCAGCTAATCATTAATTTTCATCAAATGCTTGATCAATGACTCTACAACTTGAGACTAATTCTGTGGTATTGTAGTGAACGAGAACACAAGTGAGGACAATCGAATGTAATTGAACACGAAATTACAGAACATCTTGCTAATATCTGAGAACTATAAAGTGAATACTTAATTCGCAAAATATCAATCAATTATCTCAAACTTGACTGTTCATTTTGCAAATATCAGTCAATCGTCTCAGACTTCATTGTTCCTACATTTTCATGCCAATTGCTTTTTGTTTCCATTCTTTCCTTCTCGACCTTCTGCTGCCAGACATTCTAATCCTGACTACCGATATATACTACTCATGTAGATATAAATAGTACACACCACAATATTACTAATCATCTTACATAAAAATCTGGACAGTATAAATGTTTATACGTAAAACCAGAAACTGCATTTTAATTTAGAAAATAAAATCAGACGTTTACAAAACGAAGAATCTGTGTGTAGGCGTGTAACGTGTGCTTACTTTCATTTGAGTTTGAAGTTGTAACACAAGATCAGATGCTTTTTGCTGAAATGAAAAAATGGACAAGATAATGAAGAAAGCATAAACAAATTTAAACGAGCACAATCTACTCAGTAATTAATTATTATTATTACTCTCACTTTTTCTCATTCTTCTGGTGGTTAAACGAATTATGATAATCTACACGTCTAAGAGGATACATTGAATACAATGGACAGCTTGGATGTAACTAGACGATTTAGATTTCGCAGATGACCTAGCTCTTCTATCCCATACACACCAACAAGTGCAGATGAAAACAACCAATGAAGCAGCGATTTACACAGTAGCAGGCCTAAACACACACAAAGGAAGTGACAGGATCTTAAAACACAACACATAGAAAAACAACCAATTCACACTTGATGGAGAAGCTAAGGAAGATGTGGGAACTTTTACGCGTCAGGGAAGTATCATTGGTAAACAACGAGAATCTGATGTAAATGTGAAGAAATGGATTGATAAGGCAAAGGCAGAATTCTTAAAACTTAAGAACATATAGAATTCAAAACAACTGTCAAAGAACACATTACTTCGGGAATTGAAGACAGACGTCAAGAGAATGAATAGCACTTGTCAAGAACTGGAAGGGAGAGCCCATGATAGAGTAGGTAGAAGAATCCTGATCAGCATCCTAGGCTCCACGGGGGTTAACAGCATTAGGTAAGTGATTAGTAAGTTACTACTACTACTACTACTACTACTAATAATAATAATAATACGAAAAGTTTCAAATGAATTACGAGAGGGCATTTACTGTCATGTTTATATAAGATTAAAAACTTTTAAGAATATTAGAAAATACATAGTTCATAATGTGAGATTGAAAACAATAGAAGATTGTTGAAAAGGAAGAACAATCAAGAACTCTTTAGGTACAGTATATATATTTGGGTAGATGAAGAGTCCGCAGTAAATATTGGCTGATATAAGCTTCATGTTATTTTGTATTAGTCAGAAAAGGGTATGTGCAATCTTGAAAAAATTGATGCTTTTTGAAGGATTCAAATCTGGAACAATCAGCTCAACAATGGATCTTAACACTGAGCTATTCAGGTAGTAACCGATATCCTATATGACTGAGATATTGATTTTAATTGATCATTTAAAAGTGATTTCAATTAAATTTCGCTAGTTTTTTTTAAGGGTTAATTGAATTCTGTAGATCAAGTTGTAATATGGTCTTTAGTGTGAGTTAATATTGCGTCCAATATCATTTCAAATAATGCGAAACCTATGTTCGAGGTTTTCTACCAACTATCTCCCTTCAATTACCCAAAAACATATATGTATTAATATCCACCTGAATATTTTTTTTTCAGTCCCTGTAATGATTTTGATAATTAACGCAAACTCTAAGAGACCGTCTAAAAAATGGGTGTTGAGGTGACATCTTCTGTTCATGTCGATAGAGAAAGCATTAGTGAATAAATCAAGCAAAAGCAAATACTCAACATTTATTCTTGAAAAGAATTGAGAACTTTCATTGAATCTATAAAATATTAAAGATCATCTATGAAAACAATTCATTGGAGGGAAATAGATAATATACATAGATAGACCAAGCACTACTGTGAGAACTGTGAAGACTCCAAGATTGATGGAAGATCAGATAAAATCAAAACTGACGAGTAAATTAAGCAGTTTGATCACCACAAATGAAGCTTATTCAAAATGTGATATAATTGTTGCACACTGAATTTCGTTAACCAAACTCTTTATGATCACAGTACTAAGAGTAATATATAGAATGTATTTTGATCTTTCAATAGATTAGGTGTTTAGTCAATTAATATATAATTCTATTATAACAACATATACACAAAAATGGACAAAAAATAAACAACCTATTAGTTAACTAGAACTTACATCTAATTGATTAAGATCAGAAGTACATGATTTCAATGTTTCATTTATCCAGTGTACATGGTTGAAATCAGGCTGAGCGAAACGACTGAAATCCTAAAAATCATAACAGTAACGATAATAATAGCGATATTTACTCAAAACAGACAATAATTAATCAGTTCATGATGAAAAATAACTTCGTATTTAACAATTCACATAAATCTTTTATACAATTTAGATAAGTAATTGTACATTTCTTAGTCTTAAAACGATTGAATTCCATCAGTTATGCTTTCTCAGTCATGTGAAACACATTTTGTGTAAGGGTTGTGATACTATCCGACTGCCCAAACCAAAGTGGGTGAAGCGAGAATCGGAGTTTAAAGTTGAGCGCATCAATCACTAAGTCACCGCTCCGCCTTGTCAACACGAGAATCTATTCTCACCAATTAAAACATAATTATCTTAGAATTGTATTTAAAAATGATTGATATCGGAAATATGAACCATTTTGACTCAGTAGTAGGAAGGTGGCATTTTCACCACGAAACCCAAAAATAATGAGTTTGATTCCTGGGGGGTTCGTGTGAGTGTATATTATTGATAAATCCTAAATGAAGACAAAATCAGCTGTTTAGCAGTCGTTTATATGATGTTTCAAAGTATTAGAAAAAACTGGAGTTACGTTTATTTTACATAATTGTAATAACAGGTAGAAAGATACATTCGAAACCGCATTGAGATTGAGCACATATAAAATGCACATTTTTTTAGAGTATACGAATTTACAAAACGTTCATCAGATACAAATAAGAATTAATGAATCTGCACCAAATTATTTGACCACTTACAATATCGTCTATAATCTCGATTCAATCAAGAGGTCTACATTGCACTCTCACTATCTATCTCTCTATACATAACTGACATTAAAAATCGGTTTAGCAATTCAGATTAGGAACAATCAAACCAAATGACATTAGTCCATGAATTCATATTGACTGTTGAACTGCGTTGTGTAAGCGGATGAAGATTACCCAGTTGAGATCTTCGCAATTTTCATAACCAATAGTTGGAGACGTTTGATGAAATAGCTCAGAAACGATCACAACAATGTAGATTCGTTTACCCTTTTCTCCTTTTTGATCTTGAGTTTTAAAATAATCTACTTTTTATTTTATTCTATGAATTTATTATTCCTTTTCCACTCATATTATCTGTGCCTAATATTTTCTGTCATTGATATTGTTACTACTCTTAATACTCTAACATTTGTCTTGATAATTTCATTTCCCTTTACTGATATTATAGCCGTAACTTGAATGGATGCACATATATGTACCAGGTTATACGCATTGTTTTATGCCTGTGAGGTCTAATAATTTACTAGATTCACTTATTCAAACTGAACCACATGTTTGGTGAGAACAATCAATTCTTGACTTCTCATGAGAATATGACTGTTTTACACAATTAGTAATGAATAACAAACAATGGTTCATATTTGAAAACTCTTGACATTAGAAAAAAACCACACAAACACTTGAATAGACAACAATAGAGATATCATATTACGGTTCAGAAAATTTTCTGGTATTTTTGGTGTATGTGTATGCATGAGGATGTACGTTAAATATATATGCACACAAAATTGAATTTCTATCCTGTAGCACAGTATTAAAGTGAAAATACTGAGAAACTAAGAGTCATTAAATAGATTTAAAATAAGTAACTTTGGAACGCAGGATTGTTTTGTCAAGTGAAAGAAAATATGTATGTTTTATACTTAATATGTGTTTGGTTACAGTGAGCTATCTCTACTGCAGAGAACCAATGCGGCAATCAACATTGAACTAAATCTTTTCAATAAGTTAGATGGTTGGAAATATTTGACATGAAACCCCTGCATGATTAAACCTTCATGTTAGTTAGTACTCGTCAGCAAGATATTTATCTTTAATCTTCGAGAGACCGATGACCCTTGATGGATTTGAATATCAGTCACTTAATTTCACGGCCTAAGACGTTACCACTGAACTATGTGACAACAATCAGCGTTCCATAAGACTGAGATGTACTTACAATCGTTTTTTAATTGAGTAGTAGTGACCAATGTCATGTGTGTGTAGTCCTTTTGTACTGATGATCGACTTCAATCGATTAGGTTGCTAACTGGACCCCAGTTTAACTAGCTCGATGTGACAAAATAAAAAATATATTGAACGAACTCTATGGATAATGAAACTTAACTCGGAAAATCCCTACCAAATAAAATAAGTGTAATTTTAATAACATTTAGTACTTCGTATATTTATATAGAGAATATGTTTTGCTTCATATAGCCACAAAACAATGAATACATTTTGTTGAGATAACGAACCGATCTAATTTGGACAATCACTGGAAGGAAGTAGCTGAGTCTTTTTAGTAAGGGACTGCCCAGAAGTGTACATCCGTGACTCCGTCACTGAGGATGGAACACAGAACCTACAGTTTCACGCTAGAAAACTTGCACTCTAAACCTCTAAGCCAGCATTCAACGGTGTACATGTTTAACTACAAACAATACTCAATATTGAGCGATCATCTTCCATTGTCTTTGGTCGGTAGCATCGTTACGTCTGACACACTTGAACTCCATTCGACACGGCTGGCTAATAGAACTCCCAAAATTTCCTCTCGATGTTAGTCACTAGTGAGCACACAACCAGTCATAGAATGTGTCCGTGAATTTGAATGGCATATTTCTTTCAATAGGTAATATGCATACAATATGTAGCATGTGTTCTTTCATTTAGTAAGTGAATGCTGAAAGTAAGAGCATACATTTTTATGAAAGGACACACCTCAGCTCAATTGTTGTCCAACAGTCACCAAGCACAAAACTTTACTGGGTAACAAACTTTTTATCAACAATTAGATGTAAACTTGTTTATACAGGTGCTATAGAATTTATCCTAAGAGGAATATTTTCCTTCGATGCTCATATGATTAACAGTAATCTCAGGTGGAACTTTGGAATAATGTATCGTCTAAGTAGTCTAAATAATATTATGTGACGTGAGCCATATTTAAAGGAACTGGATTAGCAGTGGTCTTCACAACTTGAGAGTGACAATAGTGCGAAGGACGACTACTTGAGGTCATTCACAAACAGGATCTTTTGGGGTAGACACAAGGACTCATTTAACTCTATGAATAGTGGATGAACAATTTGACTAAAGTTGTAAAACGTGTGCTGCTATTATTGTTAAATTTAGACTTATTGAGTAACGGAAAGGTATCATGCGAACTCTAAAATGTAAAGAAATATGTTAGCGTCTTAATCCGTATGCGATCTAATACACTAAATCAATTGATCAACGATGTTGTACAAAAATGTCTCTATCTAGCAATTTTCACTGATCGTTAGTTTTTTATGATCGTCTTTCAATAAAAATCAATCTCTTAGACAAGAGTATTCATATTCTAGAATAGTGAATTAATGGTTACGATGTACAGCTGTGGCTTAGCGATCAAATCGTCCGAGTTTCGATCACTCTATCCCAAGTTTGAAATTTAATCTACTCACATTGCTTTGGGCAACCAGGTACTATCATTAGCTTTCTCACGTTGAGTCTGGCTCAACATCATAATGCCTGGTGAATACACTAATTTACAATTAATATGTTCGATTTTAAATCATGAAGTCGCAGGTTCAAACCTCTATATTCATCTACTTTGACTCGGATAACTGATAGTAGCTACTCACCATCACATAGCTCAAAGCCTAGTGTACACAAATCTGAACCCCATAAATGAGTTGTTAGAAAAACAACTTTATTCTCATAAGCTGAATAGAATTCAAGTATAAAAGCACAAATATAGACAAAAACATCAAATCATGACAACAAATAAATACAATGAACATTACACAATCCCAATAGATTTTTAATGAAACATACCAACAACAACAAAACAGAAGCCTAGGTGACAATAAATAAGGTTTATTCAAATGAATATACTGAATTACAAAAATGTCATGTAACACATTGTGGGTGGATGGGGGGGTGGGCTGTATTTATTGTTGTTGTTTTTTCTCTCGTATACAATTGTAGGTTAATCGTATCTCTTTTTATTTTTTTAAAAATAGTACATACCTAAGGTTATTTACTTATTGTCTACTTTGATCAAATTACTTTTTATACATGTTAACTTCTTCTTTTTCTTATTGTTCTTCAATTAATCAGTGTAGGCTTTGATGATTTAACCGATTAAATCAAACGTTTGTTTGATTTCAGGTGAATTTTCTGTTTCACCAATTAATAGATTGATTTCTAAGCCACGATTATCGGTAGTTGCACGACGAATAGTTATTATGCCAGAGATTTTATCGCCTAATAATAATAATGATAATAATAATAAACTGGAAGATTAAAGTGAAATAATGAAAGGAAAAAAAGGTTAAATAATATGTATTACAATGTTAGAATAAATGCATTAACCAACTGATCTATGAAGTAGAGATTTAATTGATACAGTGAGATACACTTGTTTGCGATGTCTGGTGACACCACTGTGAAAGTTCTAAATGAAGTAACATTGAGACGGTGGAATTCAAACCCATAAACTATTATTATACGTTTTACCATTCTTGAGTTATACCCAGTATATTAATTATTACTTCCCTCATTCACAACCACATTTGGTTAATTCTTGTACAAATGTTGTTTCAGATTTTATTGGTAGGTTGTGGTTTGTTTGATTGGTATATAAACTCAGTATGTTTGAAATATAATGATTCATATCACAGAGGCTCGGATTGGTGTTCTGGACTTAACTGGCTGGGCTAGGCAGGGAGCAGGACCAATCAGGACCCTAGGCTGCTGGCACATGTTTTGCGCGTCCTTGGTCCGATCGATAACTCACTGCCGTCTAATCGGCGGTCACAAGTTATAACAGATACCAAATGATTGGAAATGAATGAAAGCTATAACCATCACATTATGCTACACCATAACAAAGAGTGATTTAAATTCACTTGGTATTGTTTTGCTTGTACCTTCCCAATGAGGCTTAAGACTGCAGTTGATCAGTCTGTTATTGGCATGTGTGCACAATGTGCGGATTGCCTCGATATAGCCTTAAGTCGTAAGCTCAGTAGCTAAATGGATAAGGTGATGGCATTTGAAGCGAATGGTACTGGATTCGAGTCCTGGAGTGAACATCAACTCTGAGATGCAGGTACATCTAGCTGACGAGTCCCAAATAGGCCGAAACGCGCGCCCTGGATTCCATTGCTAGCCACTATCCATCTTTGCTTATAAAGAGTGATTTAGTTATGAAGACAACACGAATAAAACTTATATTTGTTACAGTGATGATGATTGACCAAGCCAGTTGGGTTTTAAACAATTCAGTTATCAAGAAAAAACGATGGAATTAGAATAATAGAAAAAATTATTGCCCACTGTTGTTTTGTGTATTCTCATTTACCTGGTTTCACAGGAATCGGCTTATCTAAAAATAGTAACGTTTGCTTCCAATGTGTTAAAGGAGTAGTTGGGGATGTTGAAAATTCAACCTATGGAGGAAAATAATGAGGATAAAAATAGTAATTACGTCACGGAAGATTTCTTTTAAACAAAACATAATAGATTACTAAGGGGAGATCACAATTACTCAATCAGCCATAATTAACGTAGAACTTGGCACAAATGTGCCTTGGCACGAGCACCCACAATAGGTAAGCACAATGAGGGGAAGTTAGCAACTGACAAGCTGGGCCAATATGATATATCAATTCAACATTAAATGATAGGTGAGAAATGTTGACAGGTGCACGATATTAGTCGAGGTTTCCCCTGATCATCCGAGGAACATGGATACATGCTATTGGCCGAAATCTAGCTCAATTGTTCGGATGACTTATATTGAGATTTATAAATGAGTTTGCATTCATAGTTCGATCCAGGTTTTCCAATAAGACATCCTATTTGTTCCTCGTCTTCTTACTTACGTAGCTGATTTAATTCGAGCATCTGAAACGTGTTATCAGTATCAGAATCAAACGACCGCCTAACACAATAAAAGCATGAATACCAAGAGTCAAAATGGTTTCAGTAGTGTTAATATTGAGCAAGGATAAATAAATAGAATATGGCTCTAAAAAAAAAAGAATATGTATGAATACTGGAACTTATGAGTTAGAGGAACACAAGAAATTAACACATTTCCGGAATTATGACTGATCTTGAGCCACATCAACCAACGTCTCCCATAACTAGTTATAGTAATTATCGTACGGGCCACAAGCCGGTGACTGCACCCACCAGCGCAGTTCGAATAAACAGTCAATTATCCAATGATATGACGCCATGTCTTGGTTTGACCACCACTAGCTTTCTTACAAGTTTAATGTTATTTGGCAATCATCTCATTAAGATATACCTGGTATGTTATGATATTCATCAGGATTCAATTATCAATAATTTTTTATTATAATAATAATGTACATTCTAAAAACAATATTGAATGATTAACACAGTGATTAAAAGATGCAGGAGAATGTATTAATTATAATAAACAAAATAAGTATTTACCAAAAACTAAAAAACATGTAATCAAACAGTTCTTAGATTGCATAATATTTAATAAAAGAATTAACCAAATATTTTGATTAAAAAAATTCATTTTGAGATGGTGGAGAAGATTCGTAGCTGATGTGGATGATTTTGGTGGACTTTTGTTCTTTGAGCTGGATGGTTTGGTCGTGGAGCTTTCATTGTTCTTCTGAACGACATCATCAGTACAAACTTGATTTTTATAAATAGTTATATAAGAATTAAGAGATGTATGTAGAAAATATGTTGAAACTTTAAAAGTAAAGAAAATTGGAAATTCATTCAAGTATTTATGAAAAGAACAAGAGTTAATCATAGTTCAGATATAATCCACTCCTAAATCGGTGTCCAAAGTGGAGAGAGGGGGGGGAGAGAAAGCGATTATACAAACTTCTTCGGAGTACAAAGATTAAATTTAGTGAAAAACTGATTTTCATATTTCATTTATTTGGGACCCATGAGATTGGACTATGAAACAGAAGCGAGTGATTGTATTGATCTAGTCCGAGTATTGATTTTCGTCCCCTAAATTGTTTATTTAGCACCAATAATGCGGAAAATCAAACAGAAGTCGAGAGAAACACTAAATGACTATTGGTCTATGATGCAGTTCCCCACGATCGCTTGCTCGCCCAGTAGTCAGAATAGAGAAAATCTCAAACAAAAAACAAATCCTTATGATACAAATAGAAT